TAAACATCATTACATAAAAGGGTACAGTCTTTTTTTTCAATAGTTTTATTCATTTCAAAGGGGCCGGATCCGGCCTGCAGGCTGTAGTTTGCCCACGGCTGAACTAGACTGTCAAATTTTCACTTTTTAAGTAAAATGTATTGATTTATTTAAGAGAGGGAAACATTGATTTGTTGTTCCACTTTATGCTTTCATTGGTTGCTTCTTGTATGTAGTTTAACATCATTTATTTTGCGGGGGGGGGGGGGGGATAGATTGTCTTTGTTTTAAATTTATTATAGCCCTAACCGGTTTGGCTCAATGAGTAGAGCGTCGACCTGCGGACTGAAGGGTCCCGAGTTCGATTCCCGTCAAGGGCATGTACCTTGGTTGCGGGCACATCCCCAGTAGGGGGTGTGCAGGAGACAGCTGAATCGATGTTTCTCTCATCGATGTTTCTAACTCTCTATCCCTCTCCCTTCCTCTCTGTAAAAAAATCAATAAAAATATATTTAAAAAAATAAACTTATTATAAGTGTACTAAAGTTCAAAGTGGTCTTCAAAGACAGGTCTCACCAGATTAGGGTTTGCAGTGAGATTCCAGGGGGTCCCAATCCCATTGAGAAAAGGGACCCCCTTTGGTCCCGGAGGTGGAGAGAATGGTGGACTCTATCTCTTTGAGTTAAAAGGGCTCGGATTAACCTGTGAGTAAATACCTTGGGAGGACACATTTTTATATAAGAAACTTCCTAGTGCTTCGTTTCTAGTCTTTTCTTCAATTAGTGTCTCCAGGAGTAGAACAAGAACTCAAATAAGACTTGTAATCTTATTACGTGTTGATCTAATAGAACTGCACATTTAGCTTGAATATGCCGTGGTCATCTGTATTCCTTCCTAAGTCATTCGTCCTTTTGGCTTTGAGTTACTACCTGGGGCCGTTTTCTTTTTTGGAAAGGTTTGACCTTTTCATTGTAAGTCCCAGATGATACAGTTGACCCTTGTACAAGGGGTTAGGGGCACAGTCACAAATCGGTGTAACTACACTGGTTTGAACTGGATAGGTCGATTGAAAACCCTGTATGTAAGTGGACCCGTGCAGCTCAAACCCGTGTAGTTCAAGGGTCACTGTATATAACCCTGACTACTAACAGTTGTTAGTTTCTTGATCAAAACAGATCAGCCAGAGTTCATGTTGATCTGGCTGACAGAGTCTTTGTTTCCACAATTAAACACACAACAGGAGGTGGAAGCCGCCGCCAGCTGTTGCCTCAGAGATTCACTGATTGCTGCGCTCCTGGAGCTTCGCAGGAAGGCAGCGGTTCTCAACCTGTGGGTCGCGACCCCTTTGGGGGTCGCCTAAGACCATCCTGCATATCAGATATTTACGTTACGATTCATAACAGTAGCAACATTACAGTTATGAAGTAGCAACGAATATAATTTTATGATTGGGGGTCACCACATGAGGAACTGTACTTAAAGGGCCAGAAGGTCGAGAACCACTGCTAATGGGATGAATGCTCAGGACTTACGTCTCTAGAGAGCTCAGCTGTTGCACTCTGAGAAAGACAGATTCTTATCTTTAAGGTTTAAGTGTCGATCACAGTGTTTGTCCTGGCCCACCTGCTGAAGATGACTTAACTACCACCACCCCCCTTCTGCCCCATGTTACACCTGAAGTCACTGCCCCTGGAACTCGTGGCTGTGTCGTCAGCTCTCTCTCTTGTGACCCAACTCAGCGAGGGGCAGCTTCGCTGCGGAGACTGTCTTAGCGTAAATATTCTAGGTGCCTCTCCTCCTGCCTGGGCTGCCTGTGCTCAGTCTTTTGGAAGCTGACTTCTCCGGTGTTTATTCCTGGGCAAGGAAGGTACAGTCACACTGCATTTTGCTTAAAGTAACAGTCTCAGAATTCCTTCAGGTTTCTGTGCTAGACAGTGGACATTACAGTGAGTCGTTCCCACACACCCACCTATGATGTGTGAACCACAGGAGTGGCTGTGGGCATTATGGACGCGTGTGCGCCTGCTGTCTTGCTTATCTGGGTGTGTTCTTTGGCTGTTGGCGCTGAAAGAATAGGTTCACATCACTCCACTGTCAGTTTTATCCAGTGCTAGATGCATCCTTTCGTCACATGACCTGATCGCAATCAAAATTCGGCTCTGAGGTCTTCTGAGCTGATCATTCATGGGCTTCCCGCCATTCCTTTCAGCGGGGCCCCGTTGTTTTCCAGAGCTGGGCTGCGCGTGGTGTGTGAATTCTGAGGCTCTGCTGCTGTGAGTGCTGTTGAGGTCAAGGGCTCATCCAAGTATAGTTAAAACTCTTTTTTCAGGAAGGTCAGGAAATGACATTTTGAAAATACATAGATTAAAGACATGATGTAACTGAGTGATCAGGAAGTATTGAGTGGCCATACTGACCAGACCGGGTCTGTGTCTGCGGATCCGTGAGGCAGCCGACCCCGGCTCTCACCTTAAAGGCTGCACCTAAGCCACCCAGGTGGAGAGGGGAGGTGGCTGCAGACATGGCCAGGACTCCTCTGGGTTTCCTGCGTAGTTCATTGCCTTTTACAGGACCCAGTAGCCATGGCATGGCCAGACGTTTAGAATTCAGAACAAAAAGCAGTGGGTATAGACCAGCCGTGGGCAAACTACGGCCCGTTTGAAATGAATAAAACTAAAAATAAAAAGACCGTACCCTTTTATGTAATGATGTTTACTTTGAATTTATATTAGTTCACACAAACACTCCATCCATGCTTTTGTTCCGGCCCTCCGGTCCAGTTTAAGAACCCATTGTGGCCCTCGAGTCAAAAAGTTTGCCCACCCCTGGTCTAGACTGACAGGGCCCCTTGGGTAAGAAATGGAAGATCCTCAGGAGTTCCAGCAAGGAGCTCGTCCTGAACAGTATCACTATCTGGCTTTTAGAAAAGATCTGTAGCCCAGCTAGTTGGCTCAGTGGCTAGAGCATCAGCTCGCAGACTGAAGGGTCCTGGGTTCAATTCCATCTGAAGGGCATGTACCACAATTGTAGGCTCAATCCCAAGCCCTGGTTGGGGCGTGGGCAGGAGGCATCAATTGATGTGTCTCTCTCACATTGATGTCTCTCTCTCTCTCCCTCCCTCCTTCCCTCTCTCCCTCTCTCTCTTTCTCTCTCTCTCTCCTCTTCCATTCTCTCTAAAAACCAATGGAAAAATATCCTCGGATGATGGTTAACCAAAAAAACCCACCAAATTTTGTAGCTAAAAGCTACATTCAAACAGTCATTAAAGTTTAGACCAAATGTTTTGTGTGTTTTCATTTCGTGATAGTGGTCTGCTGTGGAGGAATAGTTTGGTTATGGCCACAGTTCGAAGAGATGTCAACTAGTCAACTATAGTTCAGGAGTCCGAGACCTAAAGTCCCCATGGGCCTCAACAAGGAAATACTACAGCGACATGCATGGGTCCGATGCCTCTTGTCTTGCATGGAAGGGAAGTGGGGTCCCCTCCCCTTCACGAAGCAAGCTGCCCTGAGTCCTTGGTTTTCTCCAGACGTGCCTGGGCTTTCGGACAGGCAGGCCGTCATTCGCTGCACAGCCTTTGCCACGGGTTGCGCACTGGAACGTGCCACTGTTGGCCGGGTGCACCTGTCTTCTTCCAGGAGTGGCTTGAGCTCTGCCTTACAGATCCTTGGATCCTCTTTTCAACCATCCAGGGAGCAGAACGCCAGTGTCTCAAGACACTGGAAGTTGTGAGGAGGGGGGGTTTCAACCCCCTGGTCTCCTGGGGACATTTCCTAGACCCCCCTCAGAGGCCAGTGCCCTCCTGGCTCCTTAGCCTGAGTGTGCCCTCCTTCCTCTGGCCAGCAGCCCGCCATGCTGCGCAGCGTTCTCTCTAGAAAGCCTGCCCCAGGCCCAGACACACCTTCCCCTTCTGTGGCCCCGCCTGCCCCGTCCTGACGCTCAAGGTGGCCTGTTTTATAACTAGCTTATAACGCCCCCAAATAACAAGATATGGTGGCTGTCACATACATGCTCTCTTACTACTGGCTTCTTTAGCATAATGTTAAAATGTGAACGTCTTGCTCAGTTGATGTGGCTCCGTGACTGAGCATTGACCTATGAACAGGGAGATCACAATTCGGGTTGCCAGCTCTATCCCAGGTCAGGGGCGTGCAGGAGGCAGCCTATCAATGATTCTCTCTCATCATTGATACTTCTCTCTCCTTTCCTCTATGAAATCAATAAAAAGAAAAAGTGAACTTTCCGTGTCAACACACTTACTTCTGCAGCATCCTTTTCAATGACTACATAGTAGTCCATTGTGTGAATCTGTCACACATTTCCTTCTTGTTGGGCATTTAGGTCATTTTTATTTTTTTACTCCTATAAAAACACTAGGGTTCACACAGACCCTATCATTTCCTCAGAAAAATTCACTGAAGTAGAGGAGCTAGCTCAAAGCCCCTTCTGGGGCTCTTTGGTTCCACAAGCACTGCGTTAAAAGGAGTGCAGGCTCCTGCCACAGACTTCTAAATGGCCTTTGCAGTTCGGGCTCGCTGGCTGCCGGCACTTGGAGATTTCAAATGGCATTTTGCATTAGTTTTGTCCTGTTTTGTGTTGCTGCGTTTACACGAGAATTCCAAGCCTGGAGATTTTCTGCAGGTAACAGGCGTGTCAAGAGGCGCACTTCCCAGGTGTGGCCTCCTACCGCGGCTTGAGGGAGCATGCATCATGTTAGGGAGCCCATCGCTGTTTTGCTTAAATTGGATGCTGGAGAGTTATTTACTGTACACAGGGTGGCTTGGCTTAAGTTGCAATTTAAACTAATTTCTTAGGGTCATTAATGAAAACAAAGATAGAAAAATGAAGGAGATCCAGGAGACCACTGGGATCGTAAGAGTCTGAACTGAGAAGGCAAAGCAGAGCCCCAAGAAGAATTTAAAATCCAGCCTGTGCCTGCTGTAGACAGTGTGCGCTTCTCAGTGTGGCGCTCTCGGAACGGAACGACGGCCATCATTTGACTTTTTCTTTCTTCTTTCTAGGTGTCTCATTCAGTTGCTAAACTTATATTAGTTAATTTCCACTGGCAAGTTGCAGAGATATTGGACAGGTAAGCTGTTTGGGGAGGAGAGGTGGCATCACCCATAGCTGCTCTCTCTGCCCGCCCACCCAGTGGTGATATTTGCATTTTGGAGTATATCTTTACAGTGTGCATATTATATTTTTAAAACACTGGATCATATTGTATGTATTTTTTCTCTCAATATATGTTGAACATTTTCCCATATATCTTTCAGCATATTTTTTCTACTGGTTATTTGCTGCCACAGTATCTGATTATATAGATGTTTCATACTTTGTTCAAACCCCTGTTGTTGGACAATGAAGTTCAGATTTTTTGTGCCCTTGTTAATCAATTTGTAGTGAGTACCCTTCTAGGTAACACTTGCCAACTCTCTGGTTATTTCTTTTGGATACATCAGGTTAGGAATGCACCATCGCATATCACATATTAGCTTGAGCAAAGGTAATTGGTCAATTTACCACCCACCTCCAGATTTGGAGTCTCAAGACACTGGAAGTTGTGAGGAGGAGGGGTTTCTCCCCCCTGGTTCCCTGGAGACATTTCCTCGGACCCCCCCGCCTTAGAGGCCAGTGCTTTTGTCTAACTCAGCGTCTCTGTCCTCAGCACTGTTGACATTTGGGCTACATAACTCTTCGTTGTGGGGAGACTGTTCTGTGAATTGTAGAAGGTTTGGCAGATGCCCCGGGCTCTACCTTCAATCAGTAGCAGCAGCAGCCAGGGTCCTAGAGATAAGGTGTCTTCAGGCCCTGCCCTTCCACACCCGGGCAGTTCTCCTGCAGTGCGACCCCCTGTAAATGCAGAGCAAGGTCATGCCTTTCCTTCCTCAGGCTGGGCAGCTGGGTGGCCACGCCAGCCGAGCGCTCATTCACTCACCGCACTCTCACTCCTCACGCCAGAGCCGGCTCAGCGAGAGGCCGGATGAGCTGCCAGGTCTGCACCCTGTCACTGGACTCTGGGACCACATGGGTTCCGTGGGGCTTTCACTGTCCACACTCTTGAGCGTAATTTGGGATGAGAGGTGGGTGGTTGAAGGGAAAACGGGAAGGTGGGTAAGGACGACACACGTCTGAGACATCACCTTCCCGCTCAGGGTCCTGTGTCGTGGTCATGTGTTTCCTGGGCTTTGTGTAGCACGTTTATGGCCACATGATGGCGGTTCTTATTTCTAAAAGTATTTATGCCAAACCTCACTCCAGAAGGGATTACATTTTTATGCTGAAATAGTGCTTTTTCGGAAATGTGTGTATGTGAATGTGTGCGCACGCACATGCGTGTGTGCTGTGTGTAGGCGTTAGAGGAGAATAAAGCAAATACTCTTCTGAGTGCCCAGCGAAATGAGAAGCCCTCTGGCCTTCACTCGGAGGGAGGGCCTCGGCGGCCATGCCTGCCTGGCCACGCCCCTTCCTTCCGCCCCAGGCACTCGCATCTTCAGTTTGGTATTGATCATTTTCTTATTTTTTCTTAAATTATGTGGATTTTAGTTTAGTATGTTTTTAGAAATCTACAGACATATAATCATGCTGTAAGTGTTTTTAAGTTTTAAAATTACAAACAAGGTTGCATTTTATGACATCCTATGAATCCTTTCAGAAAACCATTGGTGAGGGTTGTTTTTGTGTTTGGTTGGGGTCTTTTGCTGTTACAAGTAATGCAGCTTTGAAAACTTGTCCGTGACTCCCGGTGTAACCTCATTTTTGTAGGGTTCAGAACAGGAGTGAGTTACTGGTCTATTGGGTGTGTGTTTCTAAAACTTTGCTAATCAATGCCACTGTGTTTCCCAAAGTGATCATACCGTGTTACATGCCCACAGTGACACAGGCATGTTCCTGATACAGCCACGTTTAAAGTTTTACCATCTGGTGGGTGTACATGGCATCTAATTGTTTTTAATTTCAATTTTCCTGATTATTAAGGAGGTTGAGCATCTTTTCTTTTTTTTAAAATATATTTTATTGATTTTTTACAGAGAGGAAGGGAGAGGGATAGAGAGTTAGAAACATTGATGGGAGAGAAACATCGATCAGCTGCCTCCTGCACATCTCCTACTGGGGATGTGCCCGCAACCCAAGTACATGCCCTTGACCGGAATCGAACCTGGGACCTTTCAGTCCGCAGGCCGACGCTCTATCCACTGAGCCAAACCGGTTTCGGCTGAGCATCTTTTCTTATGTGTAATGGTCATTTGTGCTTCCTCTTCTGTGAAATGCCTGTTCTCTCTGTTGCCCATTTTTATTGTTATTTTGTCTTTTGTATCTTGTATCTGGAATGAGGTTTGGCATAAATACATTTAGAAATAAGAACAATTATCATGTGGCAACAAAATGCTACACAAAGCGCAGGCTCATTGAGGCACATTAAAAGACACCAAAGACAGATGGACTTTCAGGAGTTTCTGGTTTTTTATTCTGAATATCAGTCCTTTGCCAGGATAGGCATTGAATGATCTTCCAGTTTGTATCGGCTTTTTACTTAATGGTTCCTCCCGATGAACCAAAGTTCTTAAATGTCACAGAATTTTTCAGTTTTCCTTTTGCTGTGCATTTTCTTTGTCTCAAGATCTCCTTCCCTATTCTGATGTCAATAAAGAGATTTTTACCTTTATTTCCAGAACGGAATGTAAACCAGAAACGATCCTTCATGAGTATTTTTCTTACAGTTCACTGCCTTGGAGGCAGGGTTATTATTCTCATACAATTGAGAGCTAAAAAAAATTGAAAAAGTATTTGCACGAAGGCAAAAGGAAGCTTGGCTCTGTGAGGTGGTAATTAGACAAAGACATTTTAGTGCACCTGCAGCAGGTGTTGTTTTTATTCAGAGGTAACCATGTTTGCCTTCAGTTTGATTCCCTTCACTTCTGCCTCCTGTTTTGTAGATACAAGTCTAACTCTGCTCAGCTGCTTGTTGAAGCTCGAGTTCAGCCCAGTCCATCGAAACATGTGAGTGTATCCGACTTGAGGAAGACCTCCCCGTGCAGGGCTCTCGCTGTGGCTCACGGTGCTGCTGGGAGCCTCCTGCTTGGTTCATAGTGTAACAGGCCTCCGCTCTTCCCGCCTCGGCCCACACCCCCTGTCCATTCTAGTGTGAAAAGTTTCCTCGTAGATGAGGAGTAACGCCTTGCCGCTCCAGGGGCCTCTCCAGCCATGCTCACTCTGCGCTCACACACAGCCTGCACTCCATCCCGCTGGGGCCGGGGTTCCCCGCCCACCGCCCGCCTCTGCCTCTGCTGTGCCCCCCTGGCCTGGAATGCTCAGACCCTGTCCCCGTCTTTGTTTGTGGGAATGAAACTCACTTTTAAAGACCCAAATCCAAGATGTCTCTCACAAAGCCTGTCTCCTGTGATCACTCCCTGCAAAATCCTCTGGTTATACCTTTAAACCTTCACGTGTATGTGGTGGTGATTCAGTCATCTTTTCCCTGCCTCGCTGTAAGTGCTCTGAGGATGGAAACCTTATCCTACGTCCTACAGTACCTAGCCATCTCCTGTGTGTACCAGTTCAGCAAGCGTGTCAAATGAATGAGGGCCATGTTGAAAGAGCCCTTAGGAGAGAGATTTGGAGCTCAGGTCACCACATAGCGTCTGCAGCCTCTTACTTAGAAAACGCCCAGGCACAGACTGGATCAGCATGGGAACACAGTCCTTTTTCTCAAATTGTGTTTTGTATTTCCAGGGAACTAACAGGAACCTAAGATAAGCTCGTAGTGGGCTTGTCCATGGGGTGTAGTTTTGGCCACGGGACCCCAGATTGTCTGTGTCTGCCAGTTTGTGTCCATGGCATCGATCCTGGAACCGGCTTTAGGGTTGTTTGCCCGCCTCCAAGAAGCTTTCTTGCCGAGTAGGAGTCTTCGTCAACCTTGTAAATTAATTGCATGCGACATCTCTTCCATGTGCGAAGGCTGTGCTGTAACTTGGAAGAAGAAATAACGCTTTGTATTTTGGGCATGCAGAGCGGGGAAACAAGCCGACTTGTCTGACGAGCAGAGCTGCAGAGCGGCCGTGGGAAGCTGTACGCAAGCTCAGAGCCTTCTGACTGGGCTTGTAGCACCAGCTGAGGGGCCGCGCTGGGCTCTGCTGGACGGGGCACTTCACAAAAGAAACCCCGTAGCTGTTCAGAGAGGTGGATTGAAAGACGTCTGAGGGCCTTGACAGCTCTGAAACCCTGAGCTTTTCAGCCTGGCATCATCAGACTGCTGCCAGCTGTCATTCTACCCGTCCCTGCTTCACTGAGTCCCCGTGTGCTCCAAGCCCAGCTCCTGTGCTGCCTCCCTCAGGAAGCCTTCTTGAGGGGTGCTTTCTGCTCCGAGCTCTTGGACTCCCAGAGCCCACACATTGCAGCTGAGCTCTGACCCTTGCTGCAGGGTCAGGATTGCCTCCCCTGCACCTAGCGACACAGCACCCCTGTGGCCCCGGGCACTGAAGTTTCCTCTTGGACTCACATGCCTTTACCTCTCTCCAGGTCCCCGCAGCCCATCCCCCTCACCACTGCGCAGTGTGCATGCAGTTTGTGCGGAAGGAACACCTCCTCTCTCTGGCCTGTCAGCACCAGTTTTGCCGCAGCTGCTGGGAGCAGCACTGCTCAGTGCTTGTCAGAGACGGCGTGGGTGTGGGTGAGTCTGCTCTCGAGCTTCTAAAAGACTGGCCTCAACTGTTTATCTCTGACTCGGCCCTTCCAGGTACTCAGGTCAACTGTGTATCTTTTTTTAAAACAATGTTTTTATTGATTTCAGAGAGAGGAAGGGAGAGGGAGAGAGAGAAAAACATCACTGATGAGAGAGAATCATCCATCAGCTGCCTCCTGCACGCCCCCTACTGGGGACGGAGCCTGCAGCCCGGGCCTGTGCCCTGAGCGGGAATCGAACCGTGACCTCCTGGTTCGTGGCTCAACCACGGAGCCACGCCGGCCAGGCGACTATGTGTCTTCTTTTAAGCCTGACTGGCGTGACTGCCCGAACCATTGCTTTCCAAACACATCGGTCTGAACAGTGGCAGTGTGCCCGTCCTGAGCAGCACGGGACAAGTAAGGCTGTTGTTTGGTCATGTTAAACGTTGGTGTGAGTGCAAGGCCACCTCTTGGGAGCGCTTCTGGAAGCACTGTCTTGATTCCCCAAGTGGCAGCCACAGCTCAGACATCCAGAGGGTTCACTGTTATTTGGGTAACAGCACAGAGTGCATGGATGGTTGGTGACAGGAGTATTTGTTATACTGTAACCTGATGATATTGAAGCAAAATTGGCATCCCATTAATTGTGTCTGCAAAACCTCGTGTTGGTGATAAGCACTTGTACATAATATTAAACATTACAAAACTCAGTTGTTAGGAATCATATAGGGTTTTTTAAACAAAAATTGTAATGGTGCCATTTGTGATGTATATGTAATTTGGAATAATATTTTAGTTACATCACTGTGCAAATATATCAGTTTCTTTGAGTATGTTCTGTTGCTTCAAGGGTTTCCTATGTGGAACTGAATTTGTGGTTGAACTCAGTGGGCAAACATATTATTATTAGGGGCCCAGTGCACAGATTCATGCACCTTGAAAGGAACTGTGGGCTGAGAGGCTGCAGTGGGCACAGGGGCAGGTCTCGGCCCACCCGCTGTGGCCCCCGGTCCCCTGTCTGCCGGCAGCCCCACTCCCGCCGCCGCTCCCATGCACTGATAGCGCCAACCCCGCTCGCACGCACTGATGGCATGGAGCAATTGGGGACAGCACTGTCAGCAGGTGCTAGCAACAGCTGCTGCCCCCATCGCCTCTCAGGAGCAGGGGGAGGTGGAGAAGCCCTCAGGGGTGATCAGGGCCGGCAGCCACTGCTCGCACCCGCTGACAGCACTAAACAATCATGACTGGCGCCGGCTGGGGGTATAAGCGGGACCAGCACCAGCTGTGGGTGCGAGAGGCGGCTGCCAGCCCCGATCGCCCCTCAGAAGCAGGGGACAGTAGGACACCCTGAGGGGTGGTTGGGGCTGGCAGCCGCCACTCACACCCACTGACAGCACTGAGCTATCAGGTATGAGCGCCAGGCGCTGAGCTATCAGGTATGAGCGCCAGGTGGGACTGCGGCACGCAGGAGCAAAGAATTTTCAGTAACCACCAGAGGCTCGCCCCAATGACAGCGACTGGTGCCCCACCTTGGTCTGGCGCCCTGCTCACCTGCTCCACCACCCGCCACGGCCGACACCCACCATGTTCCACATGTGCCCCATGGTGGTCAGCGCACGTCATAGCGACTGGTTGTTTAGTTGTTCCTATGTTCAGTCTATTTGCATATTAGGGTTTTATATATATAGACAAGTGGTGATTCCTACAATAGTTGTCAATCAGCTGGTCTTTGTTCAACAGGAGTCTCTTGCATGGCTCAGGACTGCCCACTTCGAACACCAGAGGACTTTGTATTTCCATTATTGCCCAACGAAGAACTAAGAGACAAATACAGGCGCTACCTCTTCAGGGACTATGTGGAGGTATGACCTGCCTCTGTGATGCGCCCTCTGCTTTCCTGGGCCTACTTCCCACCAGGTGCTCACTAGGGTTCCTTTATAGACAAGGCTGCCATTAGGTGCTGGCATTTGAAGAAAGAGTTCCATGGCTTTAAAAATGTTAGGAAACCACTGGAATGGTAGACCCTGGAGTCAGGCAGTTGTGTGAATCCCAGGTCTGTTACTTCCTCGCTGTGTAACCTTCTCCCCACCGTTGTGCCTCTCTCAGCGTGGTTTCTCTTACACAGCGGTCACCTTATACACTTTGCTTCAACAAGTCACTGCATGCCCAGGGGTCAGCACGAGTCGGGCGTATCTCAGGAGCTGCTGTTCCTTTTGGAGCACTGGGTGATCCAGCCCAGAGAAGGGGAGTTGCTTCTTGTGCAGTTGGAAAACTTGTCCCTGACTCCAGCATGGCCAGTCTGAGAGTCCTTGCCCTCTGTTGGTCTACCAGTTCATGCTAGCTGGTTTCATGTGACATGGTTTCATTTTTTTATGCCTAAGCTTACTGGTTGATTGACGGTCTGGTCTTCTCATGCACAAGCTGCAGGATACACAGAAGGCCTGGCTCCGTGTGCTGTTTGCTGCCTTCAGTCAATGCCTGAGGGCTGCTGAGCTTCTCAGAACCAGGCACAGTGGATCAGGCTGTGTTCCTTCCAGCCCTGGTCCCTTCGCATTTTCATCTCAAGGATACAATTGTGTGTTCCATTTTGTAATCTAATTTTAGACTATTCTAGTGAGTTGCTACCTAGTTTAACTAAACATTCAGAGGTCTTCAGTATCTGCCTAATGTCTGGCCTTCACGACATTCACCGTGAATTCCTACACCCCTGCATGTAAGTCATCAGCTGGAAGGACAGGAGGTGTTAGAGTGCTGGGGCGGGGTGGGGGGGTCCTAATTTAGAGGCAGCGACTGGGGGTGGCCTCATGTTTCTCCTTGATGTGCACACAGAGTCATTACCAGCTCCAGCTGTGCCCCGGTGCAGACTGCCCCATGGTCATCCAGGTACAAGAGCCCAGAGCTCGCCGCGTCCAGTGCAGTCGGTGCAGCGAGGTCTTCTGGTAAGAGTGGGTGTGGGTGCTGAGCAGCCTGGGCTCCTGCTGCCTCTCAGAGCCACTCTGCGGCAGGCGGCGGGGGAGGGGCGCTGGGCGAGACGGGGCCTTTGAACCAGGAGAGCAGCTCCGCTCTGGGAGGGCACCTCATGTTCCATGTTATGGATATGCTCAGTCTGCAGACAAAAAAGTGGCACAGATTCTTGGAGAACGTGCTATGGTTTATGCTACTAAGACTTGTGACCCAGAGATTTTATCTCTCTACCTGCACAGATAGTTTACATATTACTATTTACATATTCAACGTTTTCATCTTTCTCTGTAATTCATAAACGTGGCTTACATCTTGGGGCTTACTCCATTCAGTAAATATGATGGGAATAGCGAAATGCCCTGAAGGTGTAGGCACTGTCCTGACCGCGTGCCTTCATGCTCCCCGCAGTGTGTGGGTGGCACTGCTGTCATCCTTGTTGGGGGAGGAAGTTGAGGTGCAGGGTATTGGCAAGAGTCATCACTGAGGTCCAGGTCTGTGCCGCTAATCCCACCTCCCTGGGAGCCTCACGGAGGGCGGGGCTTCAGGGACACTACATGGGAAATGTGGCGCGTGCACGTGGGCCTGCCTTTAAGACGTCGTTGAGGGAGCCTGTGGCTCGCCAGTGGTAAGAGCCCCTGAGGTGGCTGTTCTCACCCTCCGTGTCCTGCACGGGAGCTCTCCTGGGGCACGTGTGAGGCCGTCTGCCTGCGCGCCTGTCCTGCCCATCACGCTGTGGTGGCTGGGGCCCGGCCTGAGGAACGTGTGCTCTGGCTGAGCTGCCTGCACTGTCGGGGGGTCGCGCCGCTGCAGCCCGTACAGCTCGGGCATCGTGCATCCTGTGTGCACATGTGGCTGGAAGGTGAGCCAAAGCTCCCAGAAGTGGGTCTCGCCCAGCGCGGTGTCTGAGCTGAGGTGTCGTCCTCAGAGCACCTCACCGTGCCTGCTGAGAGGCGAATTCTGAACTCGACATCCTAGTAGGAAGGGTGGATGCCACACAGGATACTGAAAACAGAAACTGTCATTTGGGTTTATTGAGAGTATATCTTGGAAGGACTGAGACTGGAGAGAAGTGGACACAATATTTCAGTATAATCTCGAGCAGGTAAAGGTCTGAAAGGCCTTGATAGGTGACTTTCCCTCTGAAAAGCTGTTCATCAGGATCTGTTGGCTTGGACAGAAGGAAAATTAAAAACCTGACCTAACGATTATTTGAGTGTTTTTCTTTTCTGGTTTTAAGTTTCAAGTGTCGTCAGATGTATCACGCCCCCACAGACTGCGCCACCATCCGGAAATGGCTCACGAAGTGTGCAGACGACTCTGAGACGGCCAACTACATTAGTGCTCACACGAAAGACGTAAGGAGCGTGTCTTGCCTGTCGTGGTGCTGCCGGCCTTGTGCAGACTTGGCAGCGGTGGCAGCGGTTACCATAGTGTACATTCATTGGTGGGTGCGTTCATTTGAGTCCAAAGCTGAAATGCCTGGGGAAGTTACGGAACTAATTAGGGCAAAACGAGGTCTTTCTTGAATGCCTCCCGGCTTTCAGATCCCCGGGAGAGAGGTGTGTGATAGCCACACCTCATACACAGCAGGACTCGCTGCAAGCCCAGGCCTGCCCGTGCTTGTTCTGCACCTTCCCTTGGGAAAGATGGCCACAGCCCCTGGAGCCCGGGTGACCCGGCACCCCAGGCACTAGGTTCACGCGCTCACAGACACGGCTGTGGCCAGGACACGAGGCAGACGGCTGTGTGGCATGCGCCTGCCGGTCTCCGCGGCGTGTCCGGGGCTGCTGGCGCCGCTCAGGGCGAGTGAGCAGCTTCAGAGTCTGCGTCCCTCCCTCTTCGGAAGCAGGCGTCCGGGCCGCGCCAGGACTGGCCCCGCGCTAGCGCACCCCTCTCCGGCGCAGGCTTTCCGCTGCCTCCGCTGCCTCCGCCGCTCTGTGCGCGAGCGGCCCTGGCGGGGCGGGTGGCAGCAGGCGTAGTGGGCTCAGTTGGTGCGTGGAGTGTTTCAGAGTCAAACTTGCTGACCTCATTTCCTTGGATTGCTGTTCCAGCCTCAGCGACCGGCACATTTAAGTGAGGTGCTCCTCCCAGCAGGGCTCGCACGATGAGTCACTGGGCACAGGGGCCAGGAGCTGTGTAGTTGTCTTAGCCCCAACCTGGTGGTGCGTGAGCCTAACGGCGCCCTTCTGTCTCCTCAGTGTCCCAAGTGCAACATCTGCATCGAGAAGAACGGAGGCTGCAACCACATGGTGAGCGGAAGCCCTGCCCTTTGCACGTGTGCCACCGAGCCTTGGTCAGCTGGCCTTTAACATGTTCTCTTCTGTTTCCCCCGACAGCAATGCTCCAAGTGCAAACACGGTGAGTCCAGGCTTGGTGTTCAGGCCCAGGGGCACAGTCCGTTTCCTGTGCCCGCGTCTCCAGTGTTTGTGTAGGGCGCGCTCGTGTCGTGCTGTGACAGGACACAGGGCAGCCTGCGTCACTTACATCCTAATGTTTATGCACCACCTTTCGGACCCTCTGTCATCCCACTGCCATCCGCCCCACATGTAGTCAGAAGTCAAGCTGGGGGTGACTCTTAGACCCTCGTGAACCCTCAGACTTCCAAGAAGAAGATGTTACGTGATCTTTTTGTTTTTGCCAAGGCAGGCAAGTAGCGCCGGCTTATCTGTGCTGCCTGACGGATGTGTTCCTGGAGGCTGTGAAATAATCCATGTCCCATGAGGTTTCATAACGCCCCCAGCGGGGGTTTGATTGGCCTTTCAGGCCTCCCCGTCTCTCAGGAGGAGCTCATGTCGGACCTGTTGGTTTTGCTTTCCTTCCCGCCAGATCAAGGAAAGAAGTGCAAGTCCTTCAAGGAGGACCTGTGCACATAGGTCTCTACACGGTGCGGACATGCTGCGGTTGCTCTTCTAAGGGCCTGTCGCGTGCTCGTCCTGTTTTCCCAGGAGCTCCCTGTAATCAGTGGACATGGCACGAGGTTAGAAGGGAACAGTGACTCTGCAGTGTAGACAGGATTTAAAACAGCAGCAAGCACAACGTAGCTGATGGAGGAGAGCAATATTGCCTCTGTCCGATGAAGGCGACCAAGAGAAGGGAGTGGATGGCCTCTGGTCTCTGCGTTTGACTTCAGCTTTCCTAAATTTTACAGGAGCACCTTTTGGGAAGTCAGCCAACTCCTGGGAGTGAATCCTGGGAAACAGGGCTCCCCGCTGTCAGGCCTCTGTCCTGGGCCCCTAGCAGTCTGCGGCGGGCCTCTTTCCTGGACCACAGTCGTCGTTTGGATGTACCAGCGTCCATAAGGGATGTTTAGTTTTCGCTCTTTGCTTCCCCTGCAGAAGCAGAGCCATAATTCTCAGCATGAACTGCTGAGTAGCTGTAGGTTTTATAGAAATGTGCTTTTTAAAAAAGAAGCAAGGGAAAAGCCCTTATTCCCAGCTTCAGGGACGGAGTCTTCCTAGGACAGATGTCAGAGTGGGAGGTGGACAGGTGTGTGTGCTGTGAATGAGCCTCAGTGGGACAAGTTCCTGACAGTTTGTTTGTCACAGTGGAGCGGACACAGCAGACAGGCAGTGTTTTATGCTTTAAGAACCTTACTTTCCAGTTAGTTCACGTTCGTCCCGAGTGTGCCGCATGGTGGTTAGACAGTTACGGACTTGACCGTGATAGTGTTGCTCCTGCCTGGCCCCATACATAGGTGATATTCTTGACTATGTTCTCTGTGCTGTGCTTTATCAGACCAGTGGTCTTGTACAGTCAGCACCTGCCTGCATTGGGTTAAAAGGGCACAAAGCAGCCCTAGCCAGTTTGTCTCAGTGGATAGAGCGTCAGCCTGCGGACTCAACGGTCCCGGGTTCGATTCTGGTTAAGGGCATGTACCTTGGTTGCGGGCACATCCCCAGTGGGGAGTGTGCAGGAGGCAGCTGATCGATGTTTCTTTCTCATCGATGTTTCTAACTCTCTAGCCCTATCCCTTCCTCTCTGTAAAAAATCAATAAAATATATTTTTTAAATAAAAGGCACTGAGCATATATGCTCAGGAACTGTTGTTCAGATCGGCAAGGGCAGGCCACGGGGACAGTGGATTCGGGGAGACAGGCCCACAATCCTCTGGGAAGGAGGCAGCCTTGGGACATTCTGATCAGGTGACAAAGCACAATCTGTCTGTCCCCACTGCTCTGCCTTTGGAGGCCTGGGCTTGCCTGGGTGTGATGCCTCTCTCTTCTGTGCAGACTTCTGCTGGATGTGCCTCGGGGATTGGAAGACCCACGGCAGCGAGTACTACGAGTGCAGCCGGTACAAGGAAAACCCCGACATCGTCAACCAGAGCCAGCAGGCCCAGGCCAGGGAGGCCCTCAAGAAGTACCTGTTCTACTTCGAGAGGGTAGGCGCTCCTCAGCTCTCCCGGAGGGGCTCTGCGGCTGGCCTGCTGGGGGCCTCTCAGGGCCTGGGCCCAGAGCCACGTGCACACAGAGGCCGGGTGGGCTCCTGCGTGGCCCTGGGTGATGCCTCCATAGATGTGGCTCTCGGGCTCCACAGGGCAGTGTGGCCGACAAGGAAGGACGTGGTGCTGACTTGTGTGGGTGTTGGACTGGAGGACAATAGGGCCACCAGAGCCATCTTAGTGGTCAGATTGCGAGGGCAGTTCCTCCCGGGGAGGCCCTTCAGCAGCCCACAGAGCGTGGCTCGTTTGGTTGCCGAGCACAGTAGACCAGTGAGCGCCTGTTGGTCCTCAGGGCTGGAGCCCTACTGCCCCAAAGGGGGAGAGTGGCCTGGCAGGCGGACCGTTGCTCTGGACACTCCCCCTCGGTCGCCCTCAAGGTCCCAGGCCCCGTGAGCGAGACGAGGCTGTGGCTGGGCTCTGCTGTCCCTGGGCTCCTGCAGCTTCCTCCTCCCCCTCCCCGCAGTGGGAAAACCACAACAAGAGCCTGCAGCTGGAGGCACAGACGTACCAGCGGATCCACGAGAAGATCCAGGAGCGGGTCATGAACAACCTGGGGACGTGGATCGACTGGCAGTACCTGCAGAACGCTGCCAAGCTCTTGGCCAAGGTCTGTGCCACCTCCCTCTTCTGATCCCCCGTTAGACCCAGACCTCCCGGTGGGAGACACTGAGGGGCTGGGGCGTCAGCACCCTGTGCAGCCCGCATACTCCTGCTCATGGGCGGCCGTCCCTGCTGTGCCCACTGAGGCCCAGTCTCTGCTGGACGTCCAGGGGATCCCAGAAGAGAAGCACTGCTCTGCCTGCAGGAAGGAGCTGCGGGGAGACTAGAGCCCTTTTCTTCTTTTGTCCCATCCATGCGTCACTCAGGAAAATAAGAGCTTGTCTTTGGACAGTTATTGAGATAGATGTGTGGACTCTGAGGTCCGACTCAAGAGGGAAGAGCCATTGAGGCAGCTGCTGGTAAATAAATCCCAGTCTGGAAAAGGAACTGTGGGTGTTCTGTGGCCACTTTTGTTTCCTTTTTTCCATGTTGTCCCCACTTCATCCTTTATTTGGCTTGGTCGCATTTCTTTCAGGCCCATCCCTGTGGAGCCAGGCTAATGTGCATGGTGGGGAGAGAATTGTAAGAGCCACTGAGGTGCATGTGGGCCAGCACCAGAGACACAGGTCCCTCTCTTCTCCCCATTGCAGTGTCGCTACACCCTGCAGTACACGTACCCGTATGCGTACTACATGGAGTCTGGACCCAGGAAGAAGCTGGTAAGGCAAAGCGGCCCCTCTCCACTCTGCCCTCCTAGCGCCAGAGGTGCCCTGGGCATTGCGAGGCCAACATTAAAACAAAGTCCATCTTCAAATGGTATTTCTCTTCTAGGCATCTCCAGAGTAAGCCCCATCTCCTCACTAGCTGGCATTCTGTGTCATGGCCCTGAGTGCCAGAATGCACAGGGAGCTGCCGGAGGGTCTGTGCCACTTGAGAGGCCAGTGCCCGTGCTGTGGGAGGAGATCAGTCTTCGTCTCACCCTTTTCTCTTAGCCATAAACTTCCCGCTCCCCAGGTCATTGTAAAGGACTTCACACCTGTGGTCCCGGCGCTGAAAGGCAGGACGTTTATAGCACCTGTAGTCATCCGGAAAGACGTGACCACATGTCGGCGTTTTCTCCCTTCTGAAATTCATGTTATTTATAGAGCATTTTACTGTTACAGCAGTTCATTGGTGCAGCTGTCGTTATTTACCAGGCTGGTTAATACCATTTAAAAAAAAAATAGGTATTTTTATTGATTTCAGAGAGGAGGGGAAGGGAGATAGAAACATCAGTGATGAGAGAGAATCATGGATCGGCTGCCTCCCACATGCCCCACACTGGGGATCAAGCCCACAACCTGGGCCTCTGCCCCGACTGAGAATCAAATCTTGACCTCCTGGTTCATAGATCAGTGCTCAACCACTGACCACACCGGCCAGTCCTGGTTAATACCAGTTTTTAAAGTTGCATAAATGTCTCCATTATGTGGGTATTCCATCGTTTGGGGCGTTGTTTGTTTTCACTATTATAAATAAGGCGTTGAGGAACATCTTTGTGCAGAAAGCTTGGATGTACAATTACTAAGGCAACTGGTTCAACTTTATTTTAAGAGTTGATTTGCAGAAGGGCTGAAGGAAAACAGTATTCAGGGAATACAATGTCTGTGAATATCCGTTCATCGATATCTTTTTTTTTAAAATACATTTTATTGATTTTTTACAGAAGGAAGGGAGAGGGATAGAGAGTTGGAAACATCGATGAGAGAGAAACATCGATCAGCTGCCTCCTGCACACCTCCTACTGGGGATGTGCCCGCAACCAAGGTACATGCCCTTGACCGGAATCGAACCCGGGACCTTTCAGTCCGCAGGCCGACGCTCTATCCACTGAGCCAAACCGGTTAGGGCCATTCACCGATTTCTAAAGCATTTGTTTCCCTATATGCTGGGAGCATTATCTGCAGTGGCTTAAATTCTTGCCTGTTTTTTGGGTTGGGAGGACTGTGCTCTTGCCATTTGTCTGTACTTAGGTAGCCCTTTTTTTAAAATTATATATATATATATATATATTTTAAATATACATTTTATTGATTTTTTACAGAGAGGAAGGGAGAGGGATAGAGAGTCAGAAACATCGATCAGCTGCCTCCTGCACACCCCGCACTGGGGATGTGCCCGCAACCAAGGTACATGCCCTTGACCGGAATTGAACCTGGGACCTTTCAGTTCACAGGCTGACGCTCTATCCACTGAGCCAAACCGGTTATGGCTTAAAATATATTTTTATTGATTTTGAAGAGGAAGGGAGCGGGAGAGATAGAAACATGACTGATAAGAATCATTGGTTGGCTGCCTTATGCACACCCCTCACTGGGGATCAAGCCCACAACCCAGGCCTGTGCCCTTGACCGGAATCGAATCTGGGACCCTTCAGCCTGCAGGCCAGCACTCCATCCACTGAGCCACACCGGCCAGGGCTAGGTAGCCTTTTAATTGGGTTCTGGCTCCGGGGACAGGAACTAGCACTGCCCCCTTGAGGACAGCTTCAGGGTTGTCTGCTGCTCGTGGGAGTCTGAGGTGCTGCGTCTGCCCCCATCTGCAGGCCCTGCCCCTCTCCTTTTGACCCTCCTGCTCTGCCCATACAGTTTGAATACCAGCAGGCTCAACTGGAGGCTGAGATCGAAAACCTGTCCTGGAAAGTGGAGCGCGCGGACAGCTATGACAGGGGGGTAGGTGCTGCTGCTCCTTGGACCTCCCATTGCAGGGAGGGGACAGGTTGCTTGTGGGCTGGGAGCTGCTGCTGAGAGGTGGGGGGCGGCTGTGCTTTTGGCGCCTGGAGCCGGTCAGGGTGGCCGTGGCTCTGGCTCTCCCGGGCTGGGCCATGCAAGCACAGATTTTGCTTCCTGGTGCAGGACTTAGAAAACCAGATGCACATAGCAGAGCAGCGGAGGCGGACCCTGCTGAAGGATTTCCACGACACCTAGGCTGCCCTCGGCGAGCGCGAGGGAGGAAGAGGTGGCTGGCGCGCACCCGGCTGCTGTTCTGCATGCTGCGGGCTCTGCCTCTCACGACCCCAGGCAGCAGCCAGGCCTGCTCCTGAGAGACCCTGGCACACACCTCAGTCCACTTCTGTTCTGTCTCATCTTCCTTTTTGTTTCTCCTGCGGTCGAGGCCCTGTTGAATCGGCCTCTTCAGGATTTGTAATTCCCCCTGGACGGTTGTTGGGAGGGAGGGAACGTTTTTTTGAATGACTATTAATAGTATTAGCTCATTACAACTTAGGTGATTTTCAAAGGTTGGGAAAATGTACCAAAAAAAAGCAAGAAAAAGGAAACCAACCATAGAATTACACAGAACCTTTTAAAAAAAATAAATTGGCATTGGAGTGTTCGCCCTCTAGCTATTGTCCTTAGAACGCAGCGTGCTGCCTGCCCACCCGGCCTCTGAATGTGCACTGTAGGCCAGTGTGGCCTCTGCTTCCCGATTCGCTTGGTGTTTGGGGTCCCAAGAGAGGAGCCGGGGTGGCAGGTGGGGACTGGAGTTCGCCTGTGCAACGGGCTGCTCCTGTAGACCTTCAGTCAGGGGCCCTGCCTGACCCTACAGTGCGCAGACAGCACAGGGCAGGGCTTGCCCCGGCGCCTGACCGTCCAGAGTGGCGCTGCCTGTGGGCTCATCTTGATTCTTGAAGGTGAGGCTCACCCGGTCTGGCTCCCGAGGCCAGAGCCCACCGCGGAGCACAGACGGTGGTCTTGTGGCCTCCAGACCAGGGACAGGAGTGGAGCACAGTGTTCCCTTTTGCCTCCTACAGGTAGAGACCCACTTTCAAAGGGGATTGTTCCCCAGAATAACTGTTCCATTTGGTCCCTCCTTTTGTGGCAGTGTTCAGGTGGTAACTGACCAAGTGCTCACGCAGGGTCCCTGGCACTGTCCTGCCCGCTCCTCTGGCGAACCTCGGGTCGGAGTGCAGCGCGGCCCTTGCGAGGGCACCAGTCGTCCTGGCTCCGGGGCCTTGTTTGCGCGGGTGGTTTTCCTGTTACCTGGAGTGTCCGCAGCTCTGGGGCTTGGGCGCTCTCCCCTCGCCTGACTTCAGGTGTCGGAGGGCTCCACCGCCAGGGCCTGGGAGTCTGAGACCAGGAGAGCCCTTAGTCTGTGGTCCCGGCTCCTGTAAAGGAGGGGCTGGCCAGGGAGAGGGCCAGGGCTTGCACCAAAGGAGCAGGTGGTTCGTTTGCGTGGTGTCCTGAGCCTGGTCCTGTGGGCCTCTGGAAAGTTAAATCTGGTCTGGGGTTTCTGTGGCTGCGTGGTGCCTGCACGCTGAGGCTGCCAGAGCTGTCTGTGCTCGACCTCCTTGACCTCCCGGGAGACATATAAATACTGTGGTGGAAATTCTTTGATATTCAAACATTTTCACCTCAGCAGTTTCCCAGGTACCATGGTTGTAAACTGCGTTACTCTTGGAGACAGGACAGCTTGGCTCTTGGGGTCCCGGGTACACAGCTGGGTGCGGGTTCCCTTTCTCTCCGCTGGGGTTTTGTCTGCTCCTGTTCTCTCTTGCAAGGGGCGGACTGTGGTTGGAGGGAGAACAGTTAGTGTAGCCAGTGAGCCCAGGATCGGATGGGGCGCTCCCTGAGCCAGGAGAGCCTGTGGGGCCTGGTGGGGTGTGAGCGCTGCGCTGGCACGCGGATGGTCCTGCTTACCTCCTGTCTTGCTGTGTCGCCGGCGTGGCCCAGGAGCCGAGCTGCAGCTCTCGCCACGGTCGCACCCTGGGCGCCCTGCATGCTGTGGACTGCACAGCCGCCGTGTGCCCGCACCTGGATCCAGCTGCAGCCCAGCCTCGGGCGCTGTGAGGCTCGGTGCCTGACCACAGCCTGCGGGGCTGGCCCGGGAGCTTCCCTCTGCCCCGAGGCTGTCCCTGGGGAGGCCTGGCCGAGCTTTCCTGCCCCGAGAGGGTAGGAGATGAAGAAGGCACTGTGTTCTCATGAATTTGCCGTATATCTTTGTTTTCTTCAAAGAAAAAGTTGAGGTCATGTCATCTGCTCAAAGTTGAGTAGTTTATTCAAAATAAATTGAAAGTTTCTGATTATAAAAGTATGTGTAGATTTCTTTCTTCAAAGGACCCTTCACGTAGCCTCCTGAGGGAGCATCCAGGGTACGGCCTTGGCACTGAATGCGCGGCCTTTTGGTCAGCCCCTCCTCCAGGCCTGCGAAGGCCCCGTGGCCTGACCGCCTTCCTCTTCTGGGGAGAGGACACTGGAGGGAGGTGGGCTAGCCGAGCTCCTTTCCATCCCATACAGGCCAACCCCCCAAAAACAAACGGATCCCTGGCTTTCTCACAGCCCCTGCTGAGGCCCTGGGCCCCTCCCCTGCCAGTCGGACCTGGGAGCTTAGGGCTGGGGAATATGGACGGGGTGGGGTTGGGTTCCAGCGGTTCTCAACCTGTGGGTTGCGATCCCTTTGGCGGTCGAATGACCTTTTCACAGGTGTCGCCTTAGACCATCCTGCTTATCAGATATTTACATGACGATTCATAACAGTAGCAACATCACAGTTATGAAGTAGCAACGAAAATAATTTTATGGTTGGGGGTCACCACAAGATGAGGAACTGTATTAAAGGGTCTTGGCATTAGGAAGGTTGAGAACCACTGGTAGACAGTCCTGGGTTATGAAGCTAGGACTTGAGATCTTGAGAAACTAGAGATGTTTGGAGTCATGCCAAAGGCTGAGGACAGGAAATACAAAGCATGGGTTCCCTTTGAGGGTCAATTTGTGGCGACAGGAGTGGCAGCAACATCAGCGACAGCTCAGGGGTGAAGGCTGCAGAGCTGTGGGCGGCGTGCACGGGGCAGTCAGGCCATAGCGGCCTGGACCCTGCGGTCGGAACTCCACAGTTGCTCCCCCTTGAGCCTCAGGTGTGAGAGAGACGTGGGCTCTGCCCTCGGGGGGAGGGGGGGCAGAGGGGACATGGAGGGAATTGGTCACAGGTGAATGTTTCCTCTGAGGCAGCAGGGCCAGCGGCCACTCCTGCAGGTCAAGGGGCTGAGTACCACGGCCTTGGCACCATGCCCTCGGCCATCTTAAAAAAGAAAAGAAGTCCTCGCTGATGTGGCTCAGTGGGCAGCGTCGGCCTGCAGGCAAGGGTCAGGGTTCAATTCCGGTCAAGGGCACAGGCCCAGGTTGCAGGCTCGATCCCCAGTTGGGGGCATGCAGGAGGCAGCCGATCAATGATTCTGATCATTGATGTTTCGATCTCTCCCTCTCCCGTCCTCTCTGAAATCAATAAAAATACGTTTTTTAAAAGAATATGGTTCCTTTCCCCCTTAAAAAAAAAAAAAGGAAGAGAGCAAAGTCTAGGGCAGTGATGGCGAACCTGACACGCGTGTCAGAGGTGACACGCAAACTCTTTTGGTTGATTTTTCTTTGTTAAATGGCATTTAAATATATAAAATAAATATCAAAAACATAAGTCTTTGTTTTACTATGGTTGCAAATATCAAAAGATTTCTATATGTGACACGGCACCAGAGTGAAGTTAGGGTTTTTCAAAATGCTGACACGCCGAGCTCAAAAGGTTCGCCGTCACTGGTCTAGGGGAAGGACTTTCCACGTGGCCCAGGGGTTCTTGCAGCAACTGGCATGGCCCACGGGCTGGGCTCTGCTAGGGGCACTGAGGGCCCAGCATCGATCTTGGCTTGTTAAACCAATCCTGTCCCCAGGAGACAGTCACACTGACGTGCACTGAGCACACGCCCAGTCCTCGCTGCAGCCCACATGCCACAGCTCACCTGGAGGGAAGTGCACGTGTTCATGTTAGAAACCAGGAGACCCATTTTTGTAACAGCACAGCACCCAGATGTGACTGTCAGTGAGTGACCTGGGACCGCCTGCCGCCCGTGAGGTGAGCCTGCCGAGAGATTTAGACATCAAAGGGGTGGTCGGTTTTAAAAGGCCAAGAAATTGTAGTTTATGATACGATTGCGAAATTCCCACAGCCAACAGATGGAGCAGAAATGGGGTGAAGCTGCACCCCTTCCTCCCCTCAGCTGCTTGCTTCCTGCTGTCTGGGATGAGCCAGCAGAGCAGGAGCTGCGCGTGGCAATGGGCATAACTCCACTGGAGAGGGTCATAGGAAGGGAGGGGCATGGAGTTCGGAAAAGGAGTTCAGGGAAGTATATTTTTTATTGATTTCAGAGAGGAAGGGAGAGGGCCCTCCAAGACCCCCCGAGAGACAGAAACATCAATGATGAGAGAGAATCATCGATCGGCTGCCTCCTGCACGCCCCGACACTGGGGATCGAGAGATGACCGGGGAATCAAACCTTGACCTCCTGGTTCATAGTTCCATGTTCAAAAACTGAGCCCCACTGGCCGGGCTAATTATAGATTTTAAAAGGCTAAAGAAGAGCCCTAGTCAGTTTTGCTCAGTGGTTAGAGTGTCCGCCTGCGGACTGAAGGATCCTGGGTTCGATTTCAATCAAGGGCAAATACCTTGATTGCAGGCTCAATCCCCGGGGCTCGTGTGGGAGGCAGCCAATAGATGTCTCTCTCACATTGATGTTTTCTGTCTACGCCCCTCCTTCCACTCTCTCTAAAAATCAATGGAAAAAAATACCCTCGGTGAGGATTAACAAAACAAACAAAAGGCTAAGGAGGAAATGGTCTCAGTATTCAGTCATGGATACCAGGAAACCATGACATACTTGGTAAAACTGTGACGACCAGAAAATGCAGGGACAGGGAGGGGCTTAGCTGGGTGAGGAGAAACCGCCAGTGGGACCTGCCTCACGGGTGTTACCCTGGGGCACATGCATCGCTGCCCAAGGAGAACCCAGCCCTGCAGAGCTGGGAGCTTAAAAATGCCCAGGCAGGCACCTGGCCACCGGTCCGTCCTTCCGCCCCCAGATCTGGCAATATCCTCAGAGGCGGTGGTGCCTCAGTGATGGACAAGTCCTTTCCTCCTCCTCCATGTGCCGGCTCTGAGGCAGGAGGGTTCCCGTGCGCCCGCTGCAGCCTGGGGTTACCCTTGGGCCCTGACCTTCCCGTTGCAGGAGGCCCTCTGACCAACCCGGGCCGCACCCCCTCCCCCATGCGACCCCGCACATGGGACAACTTCTTCCTGGGGCCTGACTCCTGCAGGCCCCGGGAGGTCCAGGACGACCACAGAGCGGACCTCCAGGCGTTCTCCTCCCCCAACCCCCCCCACCACCCTCCAGGCGATCTTGACCTCCCACCCTGGCGAGTGTCAGCGCCAAAAGCTATGGGTCCCATTCCATCACGTGCGCAGTCACCTGCCCCGCGGCGCCCGCACGCTGGCGCAGCACTGAGTCATCCTTTGGCACTGCCTCCCGGTGGCGGCCGCCGCACTCGGGAGCGAGAGATGCAGACCCTGCTTATCCGGGAGGAGGGAAGTGCGTCCAAACCAGGAAACAAGCTCCCGCTGGGCTCTCTTGGGCGCTGCCGCTCTGGTTTGCATGAGCTGGAGGGCATGCCCCCCTCCCCGCGCTAACGCAGCCGAGAAGACGCGCCGATGTGGGCCGGGGTCGAGGGCGCAGAGGCGCGGGCGGCTCCGGGCGGGCGGGCGCAGCATCCCCAGGCGCCGTCTCCTAGCGACCGCGGCGCGCGCGGGCTCGGCGGTTGTCCGGGCAACAGCGCGGCGCGGGCATCCCCGCGGCCCCTCCCCTGGGCGCGCGCGCGACCGGGGCGCCATGGCGGCGGCGGGCCTGAGGCCTGAGGCCGGGAGTCCGCAGTGGGCGCCGGCGGAGCGCGAGCCGGCGGGGGCCGCGGCCGGGCCGGGCGACGGCGAGGACGCGCCGGTGCGGCCGCTGTGCAAGCCCCGCGGCATCTGCTCGCGCGCCTACTTCCTGGTGCTGATGGTGCTCGTGCACCTGTACCTGGGCAACGTGCTGGCGCTGCTGCTCTTCGTCCACTACAGCGACGGCGACGACGGCGGCCACCCCGCGCCCCCGCGCCGCGCCCCCGGCCCGCAGCCCGCGCCCACCCCGGCTCCCCTCGCCCGACTCGAGGGCATCAAGGTGAGGCCCTCGCCCCGCGCGGCCCGGGCCGGACCTCCGCGCGGCCCCCGCCTGTCCCCTCTTGCCGGGGCCGGGACCGGGCCGGGACCGGGCGCTTTCCCCTCGGGTGGCGCGGCCTGGCGCCCGAGCTGCCCGCGGTGCCCTTCCCGTAGGTGGGACACGAGCAGAAGGTCCAGCTGGTGGCCGACCGGGACCACTTCATCCGAACCCTCAGCCTCAAGCCGCTGCTCTTCGGTAAGTCCGCGGGGCCCCGCCGGGAGGGCCAGGGGCTGCCAGTGGGTGGCCGCCTAGAGGCTCGTGTTGGCCACGTGACTTTGTTTTGAAAATGGCTGTTCCCAGGCGCCCCCCCCCCCCTTTTATTCCAGCTCGAGGTTTCCCAAAGTGAAGCGCCCGCCCCCACCTCCGTCACGGGGGTAACCTTTCCACACGCGCCTCCCTGGCCCCTGTTCTCTGCAGCTGATCCTTCCTCCCTCGCCGGACGGGGCAGTGTGACCCTGAGGCTAAACCGCCTGCAGACACCCCTGTCTCCGTCAGCTGTCACATTCTGTAATGGGGGGGGGGGGGGGCTGATAGCGGCCCAGCTGACCTGGGCCCTGTGGTTTGATGAGGAACAGGCCGTCCTGTGGATAAACCGGTGACCGCCCCCCCCCCCCAGCCCCGCCTCTGCTGCCAGCACTCAGCTTCTCCCTGGGCCCAGGCTTGTGCGCAGCCGCAGCAGCAAAGCCTTGCCGGGCGGCTCGTCTGGACCCGGCATCTGGGTCACTTTCTGAGCTCTTGTGCTGGGCTCCAGGTGATCATTCAGTTCTTACCGCCTGTCTGGGAGGTGGGTGTAGACACCCCTTCTCAGGGTGGAGGGTGAGAAATGAGGCGCAGAGCGCTGCCGCTGCTGGCCAGGCCATGCAGCTAGTTCCTGGTGAAGCGGGCGCGGGTGTGCTGGGGGAAGACTGAAGGCCCTCCGAGACCCCCAGGCAACAAGGCGGGCCCAGACCCATGCCCTGGCCCAGCCTCGAGACCCGCTGTCCCTGGCCACTGCAGGAGGGAGTGGGTAGGAAGATGTAAGCAGAACATCTGAGCTCATGCCCTCGACCCTGAGCAGAGGAGGGGGGGGGGCGGTGAGGGAGGGGGGTTATGCCTGGACCCGTGAGGATGACTCGTCTGCATGCTGTCTGAGGAGAAACAGGTTACTGATATCTTGTGAAAGGGCCCCTGAAAGGTGGTGGCTGCTGCTGTTACTATTGCTCAGTGTTAAAGTCTGTGCCAAACACAGCACTGAACACAATAGGAAACAAACAGAAACACCTGAAGCTGACATTCAGATGAGGAGACACATAATAAGTAAGCTAATCCTACATCATAAAACCCTGATGTGCACATCGACTGAACAGCCGAAGGACTGGCACATGACTAGTCGCGATGACGTGCACTGACCACCAGGGGGCAGATGCTCAACGCAGTGGTCAGTGCGCTCCCACAGGGGAGCATCGCTCAGCCAGAGGCCCGCCCAGGAGCAGCAAGCCCAGTGGTAAGGAGCAGCGAGCAGGCAGGCGATAAGGAGTGAGGGGTCCTGGACTGCAAGAGGGCGCAGGCCGGGCTGAGGGACTCCCCCCACCCCCAGTGCGCCGCTAGTAAATAAATAAATATACATGTGTGTCAGGTGACAGATCACAGACAGGTAAGGCAGGATTCCAAGGGGGGCTGGGACTTCACGGGCGGACCGGTGGGCCTCCCTGAAAACGGTATTTGAGCAAAGACCTGTAGGAGCTGAGGAGTCAGGCCAGGTGGCTGTCGGGTCAGGCTGAGCCAGGCGGAGGAACGCTCCCCCATTACCTCCAGGCTGCCAGGACCAGACGAAGTGTCTGGGGGGTAAAGTGTAGGCCGGGTTGTGCTTTGTGCTCCCCCCCATCCCCAGGCATCCTGGAGCCCGGCTATACTCCATTCAGATGCAGGTTACGTTACCTGAAACCTGAGGACTTCATTCCTAATCCTGATCCCCAGCTTGTTGCATCAAAGTCCTACGCAGAGTGAGGAACCCGGCCCGGTCCCAGTAAATCGCAGGGAGCAGGAGAGCTGTGACCGCAGGCAGACTGCCTCCTTGGATCACCAAGGGAGCGATTCGCAGAGCTTCCTGCCCGCGCTCCCTTCCCCCAGACTCGCCTTACCTTTGAGTCTGTTGGTGGAAGATGTCCCAGGCTTTACCCAGAAAGCCCTGGGGCTGGGTGACATGAGGCTGGACGAATGAAGACAAGTTAGTGACTACGGGATGGGATGTCCAGTTGTGAGGGAAACCCCGGGCGGGGCTGTCCAAGGAGGGGCAGATCCTGAAAGCTGTGGTATTGGATGAACCCATGGAAGGAAGCCCGCCCCAAGAAGGAGCAATGTCTGTCTGTCCGCTGTGCTGCCTGTCCATCCGTCCGGTGTCACCCTGCAGAGGCAGGGAGGCCCGAGGGGAGTGGGCTGCTGTGGGCCCTGCCCTGCTGCTCTTGGCTCCTGTGACCCACCAGCCTGAGGGCCCGAGATGCCAGGGTTCAGGACATCAGCTGGGCTACGGGGACTGGGTTCTACCCAGGGCACCTCCATCTCCACGGGAGGACCCCGTGCAACCTCCCTTTGGGGAGCATTTTCTGTTTCCCACCCTTGTCCCTAGACAAGTGGGACCTGGGCTACAAAAGGTCCCATCCCAAGCCCTAGCCAGTTAGTTCAGTGGGTAGAGCATCGGCCTGCAGACTGAAAGGTCCCAGGTTCGATTCAAGGGCAAACGCCTGGGTTTCAGGCTCAATCCCCGGTAGGGGGCGTGCAGGAGGCAGCCGATCAGTGATTCTCATCGATGTTTCTCCCCCTCTCCCTTCCTCTCTGAAATCAATAAAAACATTAAAAAAAAAAAAAAAAAGGTCCCATCCCCAGTTCCTGGCGCACCTGCTTGACTGGTGTTTCCCACGGGTTTGGGACCTTCCCGAGTCTGTTCGGTTCCGAAGGCAGAACCTGCAGTTCCGAGTCGTCATCTCGCTGGGAACATGGTTTTCTTCCACGTGGCTCACTTCTCATTTTGTAATTAAATAGCAGGCTTAGGCCGCATCGCGCCCTTCCCGAAAAGTCTCCAAGATTCCTCATTTCATTCTAAGCCTCATGGGGTCCCCCCAGGCCCGCTCCCCTCTCAGGCCGCATCTCCCGCCACCCCGACTTGCTCCGCGCTGATGCTTCCGGGGGCCTCCGCCTGTGCCGTTCCCTCCGCCCGCCTGTCCCCCCTCCGAGATCCCCTGACCCCAGACTGGTCTTGAGGGGTTCGCGGGCACCTAAGAGGTGGCGCCACCTGCCGGGCGCTGCCAGCACTAGCAGCGTCGGGCGCCGGCTCCCGCATTTGTTTGTGTCATTCGTGCCTCTGCCCGCGCGGGGGTCTGATGGGCCGGGGGCGGTCCTGGCACCCAGCCAGCCCGGCACTGCCCGCTCGCCCGGGTGGCCTCCACCAGCGCCCTGGGGCCCAGGGGTGGCTGAGGCCGGCCCGGAGGACGGCGGCCCGGGCAAATGACCCTGCGGGGAGGGGTGGGGGCGCTCAGCACCGGGTTCCCGGCACCGCCAGCCGCCCGCGGGGTGAGGCGTGGCCACGCCCTCCGCGGTTGCCGGGCAACGACGCCTGGTCACTTAGCAACACCCTGGCTTTTCTGCGGCTGGAATCCCTGCCCTTTTCCCTGCGTCCCCTCACCCCGCTCTTTTGTCTTCTGCCCCCACCCCCGGCCCGGTACCCGGCGGCTTTCCGCTCCAGCGCCCCCCCCCCCGCCCCTCCAGCTCCCGGAGCGGGGACAGGGCCCGCCCTCTCGCCCTGAAAGGCCTGCGGACGCCGGGATTCTAGCCCAGGCGGGGCTGGCGAAGCTGCAGGGCCGGCCTGGTCTGCAAGCGCCCCCCCCCCCCCCCCCGAAGTGCTGCTGCCGCGGGGCCACCTGGGGGGCCCTGGCTCCGCACAGAGGGACGAGGGGACCGTGGGCCTTAGGTCAGGCTGGGAAGAGGGCCAGCCCTGCGTCTCTGCGAGGAAAGGCGCCCAGTTCGCCTGCTCCGTCTCCACACCCCCCGGGGAGGGCTCCAGCCCTCAGCACCTGCCCAGGCGCTTCACCTTGACATTCAGGAGCCCGTGATGATCTGTGGGTCCAGACCCAGGGTGCTCCCCGTGGGTGGTCCCACAGACACCTGCTCCCTCCACCAGGATCCCTGCCGCACCGCCCCCCACCCCCCGAATCAGCACCAGGCACTGATGGGCGCCCACAATGGTTAGTGAAGAGCTGCCAGCACAGGCCCTGGCTGAGGAGCCCCCCTCACCTGGGAGCCCAGCCCTACCTGTGGAGGCACCTGGGGGCGGAGAGGGAGCGGGGAAGAGGCGGGCAGCCGGTGGCACTCCTGGCCAGAACGGGCCGCCATTGGCTGACTGCGGGATGGCCTCGACCCCCAATGTCCTGGCACAGCGCCATGGCTTGGGGGATGGGCATGCATCGCCCCCATCCCCCTGTCACCCCACAGCACCACCAGTGCCACCAGGAGCCATGGCCCTCCAGCCGCCCCTGCTTTCCCCTTACTGGGCTGAGGTTGAGGGCTTTACAGGCCTCTACCCCCCACCCCCCACCCCGCCCAACTCCCAGGTGCCCGGCGCGCCTGGGAGGCTGCAGCGCTGACCTTTGCAGTAGATTATCCGCTGGTGGCATCTCCTTGGGGCCTGAGATTAAACGGACGAAGCTGGGCCTCTGCTGGCTTTTCTTTTTTTTTTGGCTTTTCCTTCCTGTTTGTTTCTTTTTCAAGCTGTCAGGAGTGACTCTGTTCCTTCGCAGTTTGTCCCTGTGGACGGCCCACACCCCTCCTGGGTTTGCTGGGGTGGGGGTCTTGGTCCTGTCCCCAGCGTCATCACCACCGAGTCGCCTACCCCTGGAAGTGAACATGGACTCCAGAGTGTGACAGCCTGGCCTGAGGGCCCTTTTGACTCCATCAGGGTGATGTCTCTGTGCTTGGGGTTGGTTGTGGTTAGGGAGGGCATTTAATGGGGCCTGGGTCTTAGGATAAGTATGACTAAGGCCTTGAGGGTGTGCCTGGGACAGGACGCACTCTGCTACCTGAGTAGCGGCGATCGCTATTGAAAACCACTCAAGCCCCGGCCAGCACGGCCCAGTGGGCAGGGTGTTGGCCTGCGCACCAAAGGGCCTCGGATTCGAGTCCCAGTCATAGGCCTGTGCTGCAGGTTCAATTCCTGGCCCCTCATTGATGTCTCTCACATCAGTGTTTCCCTCTCTCTCTCCCTCTCCTTCCCTCCTCTCTCTAAAAATCAATGGGAAAAATATCCTCAGGTGAGGATTAACAAAACAAAAAACAAAACAAAACACACACACACACACACTGGATCCCGGCTGAGTGGCCATTTCCCTTCCTCTTGGCGATGACCCAGAGCAGCAGCCGCTCTGAGGGGCCCTGGGTGGTGGAGGTGGTGGTGGAGGTGGCCCTTCCTCCAATCGGTGCCTCTGAGTAGGGAAGTCCTCTCTCCCAGAAACAAGGGAATGAAACAGGGCCCCACCTCCTGTTGTGGAAGTGCCTGGGCCACCGCGATGGGCTCCCAGCCCTGAGGCCCATGTTCAGCTCCACCAGCTGCTGTGGGGCGGGCGTGGGGGTGTCCAGCCCCCGGGCCAAGCCCGGCCTGACTCGGGAGCTGAGAGGCATGGAGCAGCGTTCAGGGTACATTTGTCCCCAAAGCAAAGAACACTGGAGGTACCTGCTCAGAGCTCCTGCCAACAACTTGCGCGACTCCCGCTGGCCTCCCAGCACCGGGCGACTCGGCCCGATCCGATGCCCAGCATCTGCTTGTGCCGCAGCAGGTGGGCAAGGAGGGGCTGGAGAGCAGCATGCCCTGCTGTTTGTTTGTATTGAATGAGGCTGGAAAGTAAAAATGAAAGCAAAACCCAGCCACCATCCTCCACTTGTAAAATATATGCCCACGCCCGGCTGGTGCGGGTCAGCGGTGGAGCGTCAGTCCATGAATCAGGAGGTCACCGTTCGGTGCCTGTGCAGGACGCAGCCGATCAACAATTCCCGCTCATCATTTGACTTTTTAAAAAATATACTTTTATTGATTTCCGAGAAAGAGAGGGAGAGAGAGATAGAAACATCAATGATGAGAGAGAAAGAATTACTGATTGGCTGCTCCTGCGCGCCCCACACCAGGGATGGAGCCCGCAACCCGGGCCTGTGCCCTGACTGGGAATTGAGCCATGACCTCCTGGTTCATAGGTTAATGTTCAACCACTGAGCCACGCCGGCCGGGCTCATCATTGAAGTTTCTAACTCTCCCTCTCCCTGCCTCTCTGAAATCAATTAAAAATAATGAAATAAAGTAAAATATATACCAAGTAAGAAGTGGAGGCCGCCCTCTGCCCTTCCGGTTCACCCTCTCGCCTTCGGTTCCCTCCGAGGCGGGTCAGCCCAGGCCCAGCTCGGCTCCAGCTCGCTCCCAGGACCCCCTGGAAAACGTGCTCTCAGCACCAGAGAGGGGGGCCCACCTCCCAAATGCTGCCGACCTTGCAGGGCGCCCAGAGCAGACGTAAAGTAGAGTGAGACGTGCTGACCTGGAGCCCCCCAGGGAGTGCAGGGACCCCGCAGAGAGGAAGGTGCCAGGCTCGTGCCCCGGCCGGTCCTGGCCTCACCCACCTCCTCTCCTGGCAGAAGTCCCGGGCTTCCTGCGCGATGAGGAGTGTCGGCTCATCATCCACCTGGCACAGATGAAGGGGCTACAGCGCAGCCAGATCCTGCCCACCGAGGAGTACGAGGAGGCCCTGGGCACGATGCAGGTCAGCCAGCTGGACCTCTTCCGGCTGCTGGACCAGAACCGTGACGGCCGCCTGCAGCTCCGTGAGGTTGGGCCCGGAGCAGCGCGGGGAGGGGTGGGTGGTGCGGGGAGGGGTGGGGGTGCTGCAGAATGGTTTCTGTGGCCAGGGTACCTGTCCTGCTCAGCCCTGGCCCCGCAGATCAGCGTGCCCAGGCCCAGGGGACCCTCCTTCCCTGGAGAGGTAGGTCCTTGCTGCCCGGGAACCCCTGAAGGAGCAGGAGGACTCACCAGGCGGTGATGGCACGTGTGGCCACAGTCCCCAGGTGTCCTGCCCGTGACAGGTCTGGATTCCTGGCTGCCATGCTGGGAGCCCATGGAGCTCGTGGTGCGTGGAATGGCAGCTTCGAGGTGACCAGGGTCCGCCTCTCTGCACAGCCCTCACCCAGCTTCTGAGGGAGGACTTGGCGAGGTGTGGGGTCCCTGGCCCAACAGGATGCCCGTGGCCCTCAGGGCTCTTGACTGCCTTCCTGGCCTCCCAGATGCCACTGGACCTCTCCACCTCTTGTCATCAGCAAAGGGACTTGAGGCTTGTTCTCTGTCCTCACCCATGTCCACTCCCGCCCCCCCCCCCCCCGAGCCCTCAGCCCCACAGCGACAATGGGTGGCTGTGCTCTGGGGGCTCTCCATCGCGGGGCCACCTCATGGGGGACCATGTGCTTCAGGTCCTGGCCCAGACTCGCCTGGGGAATGGACGCTGGATGACGCCAGAGAACATTCAGGAGATGTACTCTGCGATCAAGGCTGACCCTGACGGCGATGGTGAGCTCGGACCTCCCGCAGCTCTGTCCCTGGGAGCCCTGTCCCTACGCCACTTGCCTCTGTGCCCAGCCTCTAGAGCAGCCAGAGGCTCCGTCCCCGTGCTGACCGTCGAGAAGGCAGGTCTTGGAGACCCTTTCCACCTCGTCAGTGGGAGTCTGGGGCACAGGAAGTGGGGCTGCTGGCTGGCAGAGGGCAGAGGGGGTGGAGCGAGAGCGAAGGCACAGTGATGCCAGCTTGAGCTTGGCTGTGCCCCCGCTCCGTCTGCCTCTCCAGCCAGCAGGGTCTGCCCAAGGCCTCCCTCTTGCCCCCTGGAGCCATTCTAACTGCGAGGGCAGGTGTGGGCAGGGAGCTGTCATACCCGCCCCCACACACACACACTTTGGCAATAACCCTCAGGAGGGTTCTGAAGTGTAGTCCACTCTCACGCCAAGTGAGGAAGACGCAGCCGTCGAGTAGGACTTGGAAGAATGGCTTGTGGCGGGGAGCCCGGAGCGAAGAGCCCGCCCAGACCGCGGCCAGAGCGGCCTTGCGCTGCTGCTGCCGTGTGCGGAGCTGGCGCCAGGCTCCCAGCCCTAGCGGCCCCCATCCTGGGAGAAATTCCGGCCAAAGGGTGCAAAGTGTCTCCTTTGGGTCAAGCAGGATAATCCGGAGCAGAGACAGTAGCTACTGGCCCAGAACCCTGAGGGCGGAAGCCCTGCCTGGGAGGTGAGGGCGGCGGAGTGTCCACTGGGGAGCGCTCTGGCCAGTGGACAGGACTGACCCGGCATATCCCACTCAGGATGGGACCTGAGGTCATGAAGAAACTTCTGGGCCCCGCCCTGCTACCCCTGGAAGTGTGGGAGGTCCTGGCCAGCAGCCAGCACCCCTGCTCTCTCCTCGCCCTGAGGATCGAGGCGGCCACACTCCGCAGAGCCAGGCGGGAGGGCCAAGAGCAGCCGTGCCCTGAGACCCTGCTCTGGCCAATCTCATGGGGGGAGGGGAGCTCCTTCCTTTTGGGGCCAAGCAGGGCTTCACCGGAGGAAAGGATGGTGTCGGTCTCCCTGTGACAGAAGCTAGGCTCACCTGACCCAGGAGCCCGGGGGGGGGGGGGGGGGGCAGTGCTCAGGCCTCCCGCAGGGGCTCAGTGGGCACTGCTGGGGTGCCCGTGCAGGAGTGCTGAGCCTGCAGGAGTTCTCCGACATGGACCTGCGGGACTTCCACAAGTACATGAGGAGGCACAAGGCGGAGTCCAGCGAGCTGGTGCGCAACAGCCACCACACGTGGCTATACCAGGGGGAAGGCGCCCACCAGGTCATGCGGGCCATCCGCCAGAGGTGAGCGCCCAGCGGTCCTCCCGGTGCCAGGCCCGCACGGTCCTTGGCTGGGAGGAGAGGACAGAACTGAGACGCTGACTCAGGATTGGGTTCCGCTTCTGAGACCCGGATGGGGACCCGTCGAAAGACCGGCGATTAGCAAAGGCGAACTAGCCCTGGCTGTGGGCAAACTTCATCTGGGGTTAGAAATAGATCGCATGGTGTTCCTGCTGATTAGAGAAATGGCCTGTCATCTCTGACAGGATGCTCTGTAGGGGTTTTATTTTTTTACTTTTTATTGTTAAATATTTTTTAATTGATTTCAGAGAGAGGAAGGAAGAAGAGAGAGATAGAAACATCAGTGATGAGAATCAGTGATCGGCTGCCTCCTGCACGCCCCCTACTGGGGATTGAGCCTACAACCTGGGCGTGTGCCCTTGGCTGACTCGAACCTGGGACCCTTCAGTCCACAGGCCGACACTCTATCCACTGAGCCACACCAGCCAGGGCCCCTGCGGGGGTTTTAGATAACCTTCCTCCTGGGGGGGTGTCCCCCACCTAATTTAGTAGAAATCTCCTCTTCCCCCCCCAGTGGGTGTCTCTGGCATCATGATAACCTCTTCCTCCTCCTATAGGGCCGGTCCGGGGTGGCTTACGGGGCTCCCAGGGAAGGTGTGCAGGGGCAGCCCTGTGGCAGGCCCAGGGCCCACACCAGCCAGCTGTCAGGGTGCCACCCTGCATGAGGCTGCCCAGCTGAATGCCTGCTGCCACCAGGGTGCTGCGCCTCACCCGCCTGCCAGCCGAGATCGTGGAGCTCAGCGAGCCAATGCAGGTCGTGCGGTACGGAGAGGGCGGCCACTACCATGCCCACGTGGACAGTGGGCCTGTGTACCCAGAGACCATCTGCTCCCATACCAAGCTGGTAGCGAACGAGTCGGTGCCCTTCGAGACCTCCTGCCGGCAAGTACCTCCCACCTGGGGGCTGCCTAGACTCCCAGACCAAACACACCCTGTGGGCAGGCCCTGGGCTACCTGGTCAAGGATATGCCTGCCTGTCCGCCTGCCTGTCCCCCAGGTTGTTTACCCAGTGTCAGGAAAGGGGTGGTCATTTTGTCTCAGTGGCCAGACTGAGGTACCCGCAGACACTGAAACTGGTCCCCAGGGCTGTGAGGCAAGTGGGGAAAGGCTAGAACCCCAGCTCTTTCTGCCGCTCCCTGGGTGCTGATCTGCCTCCCCAGCTGGCCTTGGCTGGGGCCCTGGGATCTAAGTGCACCTGGGACCTTGGCTGCCAAAAACTAAGACACAGAAGGAGACTGGGTTTGTGGGGAGGATGGGCTGGGGACACCTTGGTCCTGCCCTGCCCTCTGGCCCTTGGGAGCCTGGGCAGCGCATCCTGCCCTCGGCGGGCACTGCTCAGTGCGCCTGCCTTACAGCTACATGACTGTGCTGTTCTACCTGAACAACGTCACCGGCGGGGGAGAGACTGTCTTCCCCGTCGCAGACAACAGAACCTACGACGAAATGGTAAGCCCACCAGGCTGCTGCCCGGGCGTTGGGCGCACGTGGCACTGCCCTCTGCACCTGGGAGGAGAGCCCAGGGCACACCTGGTTTCCCTCTGGCCACCTGGCCTGGCTCCTGGCCACTCAGTGGGGGCAGCTGAGAACCTCGCGCCCTCCTGCCCACAGAGCCTGATTCAGGATGACGTGGACCTCCGGGACACTCGGAGGCACTGTGACAAGGGCAATCTCCGAGTCAGACCCCAGCAGGGCACAGCCGTCTTCTGGTACAACTACCTGCCCGACGGGCAAGGTGAGGGCCTTGGGTGGGCCAGGGCTGCCCGGAGGCAAGCTCCCTGTACCAGCCCCAGCGCCACCCTGGTGGGCAGTTTCTGGCCCTGGTGCCTCCCCCAACCATCCGCAGTGGCTCTAGGGCCGCTTCCTGGGTTACCCCTACCCCTGGGACTCCCTGGTGCCCTAGCCTTCAGCTCGCTGGGACTGGGGACGCATCCCTTACCCACTCAGGCTGGGCAGGGCTCGGGACAGGCTCGGCTAGACAGCTGGGTTCCCAGGGCCAGTGGCGTGAACGAAGCAATAGCTGGTGAGAGGTGCTGAGCCGCCACGGTGGCGGGGCCAGATGTTTGCCGGGGGAGGAGGTGTGCACAGCGGGGCCGTGTCCCCGGCCAAGCCCAGGTTAGCCCAGCCTGGTGCCCCTGGCCCCCTCCCTGGCTCACACCAGGCCCCTCTCCTAGGCTGGGTGGGCGACGTGGACGACTACTCGCTGCACGGGGGCTGCCTGGTCACTCGTGGCACTAAGTGGATCGCCAACAACTGGATCAATGTGGACCCCAGCCGCGCGCGGCAGGCGCTGTTCCAGCAGGAGATGGCGCGCCTGGCCCGCGAAGGGGGCGCCGACTCACAGCCAGAGTGGGCTCTGGACCGGGCCTACCGCGACGCGCGCGTGGAGCTCTGAGCGAGGGGTCAGGCTCGGCCCCGCCGCAGGTCGCCCGCCGCTCACGGTGGGGCCCTGCAGCTCCCCGTCCAGCTTCAAGCCAAAGGTCTGGCCGACGTCTTGCCCGCACCCCCGCCTCCAGCCGCGACCAGGGCACCGCACCTCCATCCGTGTTATTTGTTATTTATTGTACAGACCCTGCCGCCCGTCAAATAAAACCAACCGGCTGCGAGCCGGGCCGAGGAGCTCGGTTGGCGGGAAGATGCGCGGGCCAGGGGAGCGGGGCCAGCCGGGGGCGGGGCCAGCCGGGGCGGGGCCAACCGGGGGCGGGCTGCTGGCAGTGTGACGGGGCGGGGCGAGATGGCCCGGCCAATCCTGAGCTGGGTGGCGTGGGCGAAGGGTCGCCATTGGACGGCGGCCGCTGGCGAATCTGCCCGGCGACCTGTTGCTAAGGGCGCCGGAGTTCGGCGGCGCGGCGCCCGGGAAGGCTGGTCTCGCGAGAGCTCCGCTCCCTCTCGGTCGCGGCGGCCGCAGTTGCTGGCGGGCGGCATGGAGGCTCCCGAGGACTACGTCTGGCCGCGGGCCACCTCCGAGCTCATGCTGCTCCCTGTCACCGGGCTGGAGTGCGTGGGGGAGCGGCTGCTGGCCGGTGAGGTTCCGTGTGCGGCGCGAGTTAGCGGAGAAGCGGGGTGCTCCCGGGCGGTGCAGGGAACAAAGGAGTGCCCGGGAGAAGGGGTGCCCGGGGGAAGGGGTGCCTGGGAGAAGGGGTGTCCGGAGGAAGGGAGCGCGGGGGAAGGATGCCCGGGGAAGGAGTGCCCCGGGGGAGGGGCGGGCCCCGGGGTGGGCGGAGCCGGGGGTGGCGGGACGGCCGGAGCGGCCCTGAAGACAAAAACCGATGCCGAGGCCCTGGGTCACCCGCGCTAACGCGGAGGGGTGGGGCCGCGTGTCGGAGGCGGGGGAGGGAGGGGAGCGTGCGGCCCTGGATGAGCGGGGCGGGGCGGGGCCGGGTGGTGGGGGTGAGGCCCCTCTTTAAGGGTGCGGGTACGAGTGGGCCCTGGGGAGGGCGGGCCAGAGGCGGGGTGTGGCCTGGAGGCCGGGAGGCGCCGCCCTGGAGGTGGGGGTGGGGCCCTCGCAGCTGGAGCGGGTCTTGGGAAACCGGTGAGACCCCGCCTTCCCGAGGGGGTCGGTGCTCGAGGCGGAGGCGGGGCTCCCACCGAGATGGGTGGGGCCCGGGGAATCCATGTCCACGCTCCTCCGCGGGCCGCGCAGGAAAACAGGCCAGCAGATTCCGGGACCCGGGCCCGGACCAGAACCGGGTCCGGGTCGGAGCCCGGACGGCAGAGCCCTCCCCTCCCGGCTTTTCTCGCTGCTCAGTGGCCGCTGCCCCTTAGATTCCGCCGCCGGGATGTCTCGCCCTCGAGGGGCCTCCCCGAAGCTCACCCGTCTCCTGTCCCAGTGTCCTCGCTGGACGGGTGGGATCAGATGATTCTTTGTGAGCGGCTGCCTGCATCGCAGGGTGTCTCGCAGCCTCCCTGGCTCCACGCCAGTCACGCACACAGTGTGACCATCCAGAATGCCTCCCGACATTGCCAGGGCCTGAGGGAAGCTGCCCCGTCCACCCCCATGGAGAACCACTGGACTAGACTCACCATTTTACATTCTTAGAGCGGCCTGCATAGGTGTCCCCTGGGACTCACCGTGATAGCATGGCTCCCTGGGTGCTGCTGTTCGGTGTCTGCTCAGTTCCTAGAGCAGTGGTTCCCAGCCTTGTGTTGGCCACGCCCACCCATGCACCTCTAAAATCCCGACCCCCCCCCCCATATAATTCTTATTATTCAAAAAGCGAGCTCCTACTCACATGGAGGAAGCCTAAAAGGCCATTCACTTGGTCTAAAGAAGCTTCCAAAGAACATGGCATCCATGAAAGAGGGAAATAAAAGAAGGAAGGACAGCCCTGGCCGGTTTGGCTCACTGGATAGAGCGTTGGCCTGGGGACTGAAGGGCCCCAGGTTCGATCCTGGTCAAGGGGTGTGCAGGAGGCAGCTGATTGGTGCTTCTCTCTCATCGATGTTTCTAACTATCCCTCTCCCTTCCTCTCTGTAAAAAATCAATAAAATATATTTAAGAAAAAAAGAAAAAGAAGGAAGGACAGTTGAAGTACTGAGGAAGAAATTACTAAGAAATTGTTAAAAAAAATAATATGAAGTAGGAAAACATAGCAAAGTTTCAAAACATGAGAACTGAAATGCACAAATATGTCACAATATACATTTATACACTGTATATGACGCCCCTAGAGCCATAAGAAATGCAAAAAATTCACTAACTCATTCTCAAATTGCCCCCCTTAAAAATCACATTGCCCCCTGAGGCGTGTGCCCACGTAGGGAACCACTGCCATAGAGCAAGGCCCGGGCTTGCCTTTTCACCGCTCCAGCACACAGTTCCTTGTCTGGCTTGTAATTGATGCCCAGCAACTTTATTGACTGTAAGGATTGAGAGTGCAGACTAGGAATCGCATGAGAGACTGGTACGGTCATTTCAGATTAAGAGGTTGTTCTGGACCAAAGACACTCTGGTGGGGTTTGCAAACTGTAGCCAATGAACTCCACACACTTGGAGACAGAGATGTGGGCAGCTGAGAAGAGTGAGCTGTGGGCTTCCTGGTTGGGGGTGGGGGTTGGGCAGAGGGTGGTAGAGGAGTTAGTGTGGGAGGTGCCTGCAGGGCAGCCAGGAGGCCCCTGAGGGCCACAGGAGCCCCCCTGCCAAAGTGTGCCGCCGCCGCCCCCCTCCCGCCCCCGTGCCTGGAAGAAACTCCTGGAAGTCAGGGATGTGCTGTGGCCGCAGGTGCAAAGGTTGTCTTAGTGGGAAGCCTCTCCCCTGGTTGGGCGCAGGGGGAGAATTCGTGGACAGGCAGGTGAGGCTAAGGGTGTGGGGGCTAAAGCTGAGAGGTTCCTGTCTGAAGCAAGAGAAGTCGGGTGGGGTGAGGAGGAGGCTGAGTGAGGAGTCTGTGGGTGAGCCTGCAGGATTGTCCAGCACATTCACAGGCCCCGGGATGGAGAGGTCCCCGCCCCGTCTCTTCTTGTGGCTCCTCAGCGTTAGGCGAGGCGTCCTGATGTGGCTCTTTGCTCCTGTCCAGGTGAGGGGCCGGATATCCTGGTGTACAGCCTGGATTTTGGGGGGCACCTGCGGATGATGAAGCGAGTGCAGAACCTGCTTGGCCACTATCTTATCCATGGGTTCCGGGTGCGACCAGAACCCAAAGGAGACCTTGACGTGGAGGCCATGGTCGCCGTGTTCGGGAGCAAGGGTCTCCGAGTCGTGAAAATCAGCTGGGGACAGGGCCGCTTCCGGGAGCTCTGGCGCTCTGGCCTGTGGAACATGTCGGACTGGATCTGGGATGCACGCTGGCTCGAGGGGAACATGGCCTTGGCCCTGGGCCACAACTCGGTGGTGTTATACGACCCTGTGATAGGGTGCCTCCTGCAGGACGTTCCCTGCACAGACAGGTGCACCCTCTCCTCAGCCTGCTTGGTCGGGGACACCTGGAAGGAGCTGACCATAGTGGCAGGTGCTGTTTCCAACCAGCTTCTGATCTGGTACCCAGCGGCCGCTTTAGTGGACAGTAAGCCCGTGGCCCCTGACCGGCGGGTCAGTGGGCACATGGGCGCCGTCTTCAGCATGTCGTACCTGGAGAGCAAGGGCTTGCTGGCCACCGCTTCGGAAGACCGAAGTGTTCGCATCTGGAAGGTGGGCGACCTGCGGGTGCCTGGGGGTCGGGTGCAGAATATTGGGCACTGCTTTGGGCACAGCGCCCGCGTGTGGCAGGTCAAGCTGCTAGAAAATTACCTGGTCAGTGCAGGAGAGGACTGTGTCTGCTTGGTATGGAGCCACGAAGGTGAGATCCTCCAGGCATTCCGGGGCCACCAGGGCCGTGGGATCCGGGCCCTCGCTGCCCACGAGAGGCAAGCCTGGGTGATAACGGGGGGTGATGACTCAGGCATCCGGCTGTGGCACCTGGTAGGGCGTGGGCACCCAGGTTCCGGGGTCTCCGCTCTCTGCTTCAAGTCCCCTAGCAGGCCAGGTGCCCTCAAGGCTGTAACACTGGCTGGCTCGTGGCGAGTATTGGCAGTGACTGATTCGGGGGTCCTGTACCTCTACGACCTTGAGGTCAAGTGCTGGGAGCAACTGCTGGAGGACAAGCACTTCCAGTCCTACTGCCTTCTGGAGGCTGCCCCCGGGCCTGAGGGCTTCGGACTGTGTGCCATGGCCAACGGGGAGGGTCACGTCAAGGTTGTCCCCATCAATACTCCAACAGCGGCCGTGGACCTGGCCCTGTTCCCAGGCAAGGTGCACAGCCTGAGCTGGGCTCTGCGAGGCTACGAGGAGCTGCTGCTGCTGGCGTCGGGCCCCGGGGGCGTGGTGGCCTGCCTGGAGATCACAGCCGCCCCCTCCGGCAAGGCCATCTTTGTCACGGAACGCTGCCGGTACCTGCTGCCTCCAAGCAAGCAGAGATGGCACACGTGCAGTGCCTTCCTGCCCCCGGGCGACTTCCTGGTGTGTGGAGACCGGCGGGGCTCCGTGTTGCTGTTCCCCTCCAGACCGGCTCTGCTCCAGGATCTGGGGCTTGGAGGCCAGGCTGAGGCCGGTGCCGGAGAACTGGGAGGGGGTGGTGACAGTGGCGAGGAGGAGACCGCCTTGACTGAGTGGGGCCCCGTCTCCATCCTCCGGTCCCTGCATGGGAAGCAGGGTGTGACCTCGGTCACCTGCCACGGTGGCTACGTGTACAGCACAGGGCGCGATGGTGCCTACTACCAGCTCCTTGTGCGTGGCGGCCAGCTGCAGCCAGTCCTGCGGCGGAAGTGCTGTCGCGGCATGAACTGGGTGGCCGGGCTGCGCGTGATGGCCGATGGGAGCACGGTCATCCTGGGTTTCCACGCCAACGAGTTTGTGGTGTGGAGCCCCCGGTCGCACGAGAAGCTACACGTCGTCCACTGCGGTGGCGGCCATCGCTCCTGGGCCTTCTCGGACACCGAGGCAGCCATGGCCTTTGCCTACCTCAAGGATGGCGATGTCTTGCTGTACCGGGCTCTCGGGGGCTGCACCCGGCCACATGTGATTCTGCGGGAGAGCCTGCATGGCCGTGAGATCACATGTGTCAGGCGGGTGGGCACCATCGCGCTGGGGCCTGAATTCGAGCTGCCCAGCTTCATGCAGCCCGAGGACCTGGAGCCGGGCAGCGAGGGGCCCAGCCTGATTGACGTCGTGATCACGTGCAGCGAGGACACCACCATCTGTGTCCTGGCGCTCCCCACAGCGACGGGCTCAGCCCACGCGCTTACAGCCGTTTGTAACCACATCTCCTCGGTGCGTGCCCTGGCCGTGTGGGGCGTCGGCACCCCGGCGGGCCCTCAGGACCCTCGCCCGGGCCTGACTGCCCACGTGGTGTCTGCGGGGGGCCGGGCGGAGATGCACTGCTTCAACATCATGGTCACCCTGGACCCCAGCACCCCCAGCCGCCTCGCCTGCCATGTGATGCACCTTGCGTCTCACCGGCTGGATGAGGACTGGGACTGTCAGCGCAGTCGGCGCCGGATGGTCAAGGTGGACCCAGAGACCAGGTGATGTGTGCGGCCTGGCAGGGCCTGGGGTGCATCAGGCAGGGCTCTGCTTGACGGGCTGTTACCTCTGCAGGTACATGTGCCTAGCGGTGTGTGAGCTTGACCCGCCTGACCTCGGCCCACTTGTGGCTGCAGCCTGTAGTGACGGAGCAGTGAGGTAAGAGCATGGGGCTCAGATAGGGCTGGGAGGTAGGATGAAGGGCTGTCCAGAATGGGTTCTGAGCTGCTCCCACCCCCCCCCCGCCCAGGCTCTTTCATTTGCAGGACTCTGGGCGGCGGCTGCAGCTCCTGGCTGAAACCTTCCACCACCAGCGCTGTGTCCTCAAGGTCCACTCCTTTACACACCAGACACCCAACCAGCGGCGGTGAGAGGGCTGCATGGTGGCTCTGCCAGGGTCCCTGGGCACCCTTGTTGCTTTCTGTCGCCCCGACTGACCCAGCCACCTTTCCCCGCCTCCCAGGAGACTGCTCCTGTGCAGTGCAGCCACCGATGGCAGCCTGGCCTTCTGGGACCTGACCACGGTGCTGGACCACGGCTCCGCTGCCCTGGAGCCTCCAGCAGAGCCTGGACTGCCCTCTCGTGAGTAGCTGGTGGGCCACCGGCAGTCCCTCCCCCCTCCCTGTGCCTTCCCCATGTGGCAGGTGGGGCTCTGACAGCCTCCTCTTCCTCCAGGGCTGGGCCCCCCCTGCCTGACTGTCCAGGCTCACAGCTGTGGTGTCAACAGCCTGCACACCTTGCCCACACGTGAGGGCCACCTTGTGGCGAGTGGCAGCGAGGATGGCTCCCTCCACGTCTTTGTGCTTGCTGTGGAGTTGCCAGAGCAGCACGAGGCTGTGGGGGGTGCCGAGCTGGCGCCCCAGCTGCACGTGCTGGAGGAACACTCTGTCCCCTGTGCACATGCTGCTCATGTGACAGGCCTCCACATCCTGAGCCCCAGCCTCATGGTCTCCGCCTCCATCGATCAGCGGCTGACCTTCTGGCGCCTCGGGCATGGCGAACCCACCTTCATCAACAGCACAGTGTACCACGTGCCAGACGTGGCCGACATGGCCTGCTGGCCCGTGAGCCCGGAGTTTGGTCACCGCTGTGCTCTCGGGGGCCAGGGACTTGAGGTTTACAACTGGTATGACTGAGGTCCCACAGTGGCTGGCACCTGGGCGTGGGGCCTGCTCACAGGCAGGGGAGTGGGAGTGATGTCCGTGCCCAGGCCCAGGGTGCGTGGTTAGAGCAGGCGTTGGAGGGGAGTTGAGTGTTGCCTGGGCAGACCAAGAACATGCCCCACGCCTCACACTAGAACAAAGCTTTGTAGCGATTTATTAGTCTCCACGTCTAAGCAACGGGGTTTTTTTCAGGTGATGACCTTGTGAACATTCCCAGACACTGGCCCTCTGTGGCCTTAGATGTAGCTCAGTGGCGGGAGACCCAGCATGGCCAGACCTGTGTGGAGCACTTCCTGCACAGCCCGCAGGAGCTGCAGCCGGGCAAACATCTGACCAAACAGGTGTGGCCGAGGCTCCTAGAGAAAGAGAGGGCCTGCTGGTCTCGTCCTTTGCTCCCCCCCCCCCCCGCACCCCCTTGCTGTGTGCTTACCCCCAGGATGTGTACCCGGTTATAGTAAGAGCTGAAGTCCATGCTGAGCTGCACCAGGAACTTGCACACCTAGAGACAGACGGAGTCACTGGCCTGCCTTTGCCCTTGTACCCCAGACCCGAATAAAGAGTGTGTGTGCGCTGGTCTCTGCCTCACCGTCTCCGTGCGAGCAGTGACGCGGAGCCCCGGGGCGTGGTGGGCCCTGTCCAGGGCTGTGGTCTGGCTCAGGAGGTCTTGGAAGGGGAGGACGCTGTTGAAGAGCAGCAGCCACTCACCCTGCGGGAAGAAGGCTGCTGGACGGCGAGTCCAGGCCACCCCAGGGAGCCACTACCGGGAGGGGCACTCACCTCTTCACGGAGCAGAGAGAAATCCAGGCTGCTCACAGGTGGGAAAGTGGGGTACAGACCTTGTTGCACGCCGCGCTGGTAACCCTCAAAGAGTGTGGCGAGGCGGGCACAGTTGTACATGACAAAGGTGCCACTCTTGGTGCCCTTGGTGGAAATGCTGTCGGCCAGGTCGAGGAGGAGCTGAGGAAGGCACAGCTGCAGAGCGAGGGCGGCCACCAAGCCTGCCCCCTGCCCGGTCCTGTGGGCACCCGGCTCACCTGGCTCTGCGGGGCCTTGCTGAGCATCTCAAACTTGATGGTCGCCGCCGAGAGAACCCTGAAGGTTTCTGTCCAGGCCGGGTCTGGGGGGTAGAGGGCGGCAGTCAGGCTGCAGGCAGGAGCCAGGGGCGGGCAGGAGGCAGCCGGAGCTTCCCAGGCGCACCTTGTGCCAGGTCCCTGCTGTGCTTCAGAGCTGAGGCCGTGCGCACCTGTGCGAGCCGGAGCCTGCATTTTGAAAGGAGTGAGAGGAGGGCCAGCGCAGAGCCCCCACTTCCATGTCCCCGGAGGCCTCCCCCTCACTCACTCGTAGTACTCGGGCGCCGTCAGGGTGCTGGGCGCACCGGCTGCGCTCACTGGGCCACACACCAGGTGCTTCTGTCAGGAGGGCAGCAGGGGCTGAGCCAGCTGGCGATTCTCCAGCAATAAACCCGCAAGGAACTGAATTCCGGTCGGGCTCCCAGCCTTTTCCCATCAGGCTTAGTGCCTCCCTCTAGGGCCCAGCCCCTCGGGACACCTGTTCCCCTCTGTTCTCCAGACCCCGCCTTCTCCCAGGACTGCACCTGCTGCACGTCCCCATTCACCACGCCTAGTGTCTCCCCCAAAGTCGTGTCCCCTCTGAGCCAGTCAGCTTGCAGGCCCCACCATGCCTCCCCTACCTGTGCGAGAGGAGCCTGCTCATCCAGCTTCCACCAAAGCAGGTCCAGCTTTTGTTGCTGGGACTCCTCCTCGGGGCTCACCACGTGCACCACCACGCAGCTGTCCGCACCAGCCCCGGGGGCGGGGGCCTGTGGGGAGGACAGTCACTACCGGGCACAGGGCTCCGCCTTCGCCGAGGCCCACGGGCGGGGCCCAGCTACTGACCAGGCCCGGGGAGCCGTCCTCAGGCCCGAGCTGCGCGGCCGCCTGCAGTTCAGCCAGCACGGAGAGCAGGTCCTCGGTCACTGCGCGGAGACAGGCACGGGGCTAGCGGGCGCCACGGGCCCCCCAATCCCGGCCCCGCCCGGCCGCAGGTCCTACCCAGACAGCGGTCCAGGTGGGGGTCAGAGCCGGCCGCGCGTCCCCGTCCTCCCGCCAGCTCCTTCAGGCTCACGGTGCCCAGGGCGCCGGCGGGCAGAGCTCCCGGGTCTCCCGCCGGGGTGACCTCCGCCAGCGCGCGCCTCCTCAGGGCCTCGGCTGAGGCTCCGGCTCGCTCCGGGGCAGCGGGCCAGTCCACCCGCAGCTGCTGCAGGAAGGCGGCCCAGTGCGGGTCCCGCACGGCGGGCACGAGGCGCACACCGACCCTGCAGAGCGAGGGCGCCGCTTCAGCCCGAGCGCCTGGCCCGGCCCCGCCCCGCTTCCCACCCGCCGCAGCCGGTGCCCACGGGCGCGCCTTCTCCTCTCCGGCCCCGCTCACCCGCGAGCACGCAGAGCCCGCGCCAGGTGGTCGGCCACGAGCACGGCCCGCAGCTGGCTCAGGCGGAGCGCGCGGGGGGCGGCGCGCAGCGCGGGGCAGTGCAGGAGGACACGCGGGCCCCGGGCGGCGGGGGCGGCGGCGGCGGCGGGCGCGGCCCCGAGCACCCGTTCGAAGACGGCCGCGCGCTGCAGCCGGAGCGCCAGCCCCGCGGGGGTCGGCTCGCAGCGCAGCACCGGGGCCACGCCGGGGCCCTGCAGGTCGACCACAGCACGGAGCACGCGCTCAGGCACCTGCGGGACGACAGGCTGGTGAGCGGGTCGCGGCGCTCCCCGCCGCCCGTCCCCGCCGGCCCGCGCGCACCTGCCCGTCCCCGAAGCGCGCCTGCAGCGCCCGCCGCGGCGCCAGGAAGTCGCGGACGCGCAGGTGGCGGGCGCGCGTCTCCTTGAACCATACGGGGCCCCCCGGGCCCAGGGCCGCGTTGAGGGCCCCCAGAGTCTCCTCCAACCCAAGGCGCCCCGTCGCCATAGGGACCGGAAGGCGCGAGCGGAACCGGAAGCAAGATGATGGAGGCCGAGCTTCCGGGAGAGCGACTGAGGGGGCGGGACCCGGCCCCGAGTGGCAGGTGCACCGGAGGGGAACCGGAGCGGCCGCTCTCGGTGGACGGCACCGTCGTGGCCCGCCTGTCCTGCGTCCGACATCTCGGGGTTCCCCTGGGCCTGGGCCTCTGGTGCCACTCCCATTCCAGCGGCCGGGAAGACCCTGGTGTCGGGGGTGGGGGGGCTCTGCGCCCTGAGCCTCGCCCCTCGCTGTGCGCACGAACACAAGTTCCAAACGAGCGTCCCCAGCCGGGCAGCTCCCAGCGCCGCCGTCACCACCCGCCCACAGCCGCCCCGTGACAGGCATTTGTGCTGCGGCTTCAGGCTGTTTGCAGGCGTCTCCTCTGGGCCACGGGACCTTTCTTCCCGGCAAACGCCCGCGGGTAGGATTGCCCACTTCCCCGCGTGGGCCCGGAGGAGTGAGCCACGGGGACGGCGTGGGTTCCGGGTCGGGAGGCGTTTTCCTTGAACCCGGTGGCCGTTGCCGGGGCCTCCGCTCCCGCCGTCGTCTTTCTCATTCCGCGATGGCACCTGCCTGTCTCCGCTTCAGAGGAACTTCCCCCCTTTTCCCCGAATGAAACTGAAACCGACGCTGCACAGGGCGCCCGAGAACCGCGCGCTCTGCCCGCAGCGGCGAGTGCCGGACTCCGGAGGGGCCCAGGGGCGGTAAAGCCTGGCCGAGCCCGTCCCTCGGCGGCGCGGGCCTCAGCCCCCCGCCCGCCCGACGGCTGCTTGGGTCGTGTCATTCCGACGCTCTTTCCAGGCAGCGGCGCGTGCCTCCGGGCAGCTGTCGGCAGGGTCGGCGCTGGGGACCAGCTGGGGGCTTCAGCTCCTCTCGGCACGTGGAGCGGTTTGTCCCCAGGACGTGAAGGGCGGCCTTGAGCGAGCTGCGGGCTGGGGCGGCCCCGTCCGGAGGCCCTGGGTCTGCTCTCCCGCCTTCACCCAGGCTGCCCCGGCTCCGGAGGTGGCCCCCGCCCAGGCTCTCCGGCGGCTCCCGTGACTTCCAGAACGAGGGCGCACCTGGGAGAAGGCGCGGCCCAGGGAGGTGTGTCTGGGGTCGGGATCGCCACCGCTTCTGGCCCAGGACGCTGCTCAGGCAGGAGAGCAGGGAACGAAATCCAAGCGCAGCTGGAATGCTCTGGAGACAACAGCTGCTTTTGGGATTCCGTTGCCCGCTGTCCAGCCATGGGGGGTTTGCCTTGGGGCCAGGATAGAACCCCCCGATTTCCAGTCCCGGGAGGCGCACCTAGGAGTAGGCGGTGAAACCTAATCTAGTGGGAATGAGCTGCTCACCTGGCCCCCAACAATAGGAGGGCGGTGGGGGCCTCCCCGGGGACCGAGTCCCGAACCGGATTACACCCGCGGGGGGTGAGGGGGGTGTCCGCGCAGGCGGGTTGCATGTGGCTGTGGGTGCCAGGCGGCCAGAGGCACCGGTGAGGTGACCGTGTCGGGGCGGCTGCAGGATCAGCCAGGAAGGAAGCGCTCCCGCGGGGCCGGGGAGGAAGTAAGCCGCGCGCCGGCCGTAAAAACACCCCCGCACCCGGGCCCTTTGTCCGGGGACGCTACCAGCTCGAGCTCGAGGGGCCCCCATGGACTCCCACGACGGCGACAAGACCCCCAGGAACCGACTGAGACCGTCTCGTCGGTACCGAGCCTGCCGCCCGCCGGGCCCCGCGGAGAGCAGACGCGGCAACATCCCCCCGAGGCCACGGCACTGAGCGCGGAGATGCCCGGGGCCGCGAGGGCGCCCAAGGCCCTGGGGTCCCGCTCCGGCCGGGGGCGGGGCAGCTCCCGGGACGCGGACGGAGCGAGAGAGGACGAAGACGCGCCAGCCGCCGCCTCCTGCAGCGTCTGGTCCGGTCCGGTTCGGCCCGGCAGCTGCCGCCAGAAGAGCCACAGCTGCCCGACCACGACGTCCCCTTCCGCTCGCGCCGGCCGCGGACCCGGCCACTTTAAGAAGAAACCGCCCGGCCACGCCCCCTCGCGCTCCCAAGGAGCCAATCCACGCGCGGCCACGCCCCGAGCGACGCGCGGAGGCGACGCCAACGGTCGCGCGGGTGACGGTTGGGAAGGGGCGTGACTCGGAGGGCAGCGGGGAAACCCGAACCTCCTGCCGCCCCCGAAACCTGACGCCCCGAAGCCGGGATTAGGGGCCCGGGGGCCGGCGCCACGCCCCGGCCAGGTGCGCGGCTCGGCCAGGTGCGCCCCGCCCGGCCCCGGGGCCCCGCGGATGGCTGAGCCGGGCGCCGGGCCGCGGCTGGGACCCAGGCGGTGCCCCGAGGCCGGTCCCGCCCCCAGGGGTCCGGCGCCCCCAGGGCGGCCTGCGGGGCCCGGGGCGCGGCAGCGGCAGGTGCGGACGCGGGCGCCGCCTCCTGGGACCGGAGGCCGCGCGGCTCCCTAGCCCCTCGCCCGGTGCCGGCCGAGCTGCGCGGCGCCCTCCGACCGCAGGGGGCGCTGTGGCCGCGCGGGGCTGGGCGCCGCCGCGCCCTCGCTGACCCCGCTCGCCGGCTCCCCATGGCGGCCGCGCTCCTGCTTCGCGGCCTGTGCCGAGCACGGCCCGCGCTCCGCCCGCCGCCCGCGGAGCTGCTGCGGTGAGTCCGGGCCCGCGTTCTGACCTGCCCCGTCCCGAGAAGCCCGCCCTGCGGCCCCTCACGCGCCCGAGACCCTAACCGTGTCCCCCGCAGGGCCCCGCGGCGCGGGCACCGGCTCACGCCTGCTGACGACGAGCTGTACCAGCGGACGCACATCACCGTGCTGCAGCGCGAGGCCCCGCACGCCGCCTACATCGACAGCTACAACCCCCGCGGCTTCGTGGTCAACGGGAACCGCGTGTTCGGGCCCTGCGCGCTGCTCCCGCACTCAGTGCTGCAGTGGAACGTGAGCCCTCCCGCCGCGGGACGCCGAGGCCGGGCGCAGGGGGAACCTGCGTGGGTTTGCTGCCTGTAACCTGCCCCCTCCCTGCACAGGTCGGATCCCACGTGGACATCACGGAAGAAAGCCTCTCTCTCTTCTGGATGCTGGAGCCCCCGATAGGTATCGGAGGAGGGCAGGGCTGGGGTGCGCCCGGCCCGCCAGCGGCCTAGTTGTAGACCTGCCGTGTCCGTCCTGCCCTAGAGATTGTGGTGGTGGGCACCGGAGACCGCGCCGAGAGGCTGCCGCCGCGGGTGCTGCGCGCCATGAGGCAGCGGGGCATCGCCGTGGAGGTGCAGGACACGGTCAGTCGGGATGCTGCGGGGAGGGGACGTGGGAGTGCTGCGGGGAGGGGAGCGCGGCCCGGCCCAGCCCAGCTGATGCTGGCTCTCTCTGCAGCCCAATGCTTGTGCCACTTTCAACTTCCTGTGTCATGAAGGCCGAGTGACAGGAGCTGCTCTCATCCCCCCACCTGGCGGGACTGTGCTCGCACCTCTGGCCCACGATGCCGAGTGAAGCTCCAGGGACCCACCTGACCTTCCCAGTAACGCCTGGCACCCGGAGCGCAGAGCCCCTCCCTGCAGCCTGTGACGCATGTCTGCTTACCCCCAATTAATAACTTAATCCACTGGTGTCATGTTGTACTGGGTGCGTTCTGGCCAGGGGCTGCCGCTCAGTGAGCCTGTGAGGAACCAAGGGGTCCTTTCATCTAAGCTACAGGGCCCACTGAGGCCGAGGCAGTGCACACCCCCCAAACCACAGATCTGTCCACTTGCTCACGAGCAGGTTGGAAGTGATCTCGATTTCCCCACAAGGTTTACAGGTTCAGTCTAGACAACACGCATGAGGGTCTCAACCTGGACCCGTGTGGCCAAGCTTTGGGCCAGAAGGCTCTGTGGATGCTGGTCCCAAGCCTCGTGGACCTGAGCTCCAACCCTGGACCCATGGGAGCCGTGGCTGCTCAGGGCTGGCTTGTGAGCTGCCTTAGGAGGGACGTTTTGATCTGCCCCCTCCGCGTCCCTGGAGCCACCCCGACCCCAGGGCTGAGGCTCCCCCTGGAAACCGGGTGCTGTGTTATTGCTTGTGCGACCCTCGCAGCGGCGGAGCCCCACCTGCCTGCTGACCTCAAAGACCAGGCATCACTTTTTTCAATTTTTTATTGAAAAACCAAGGAACTATGCTGGAATCCCTTTTCAGAAAAGCCGCTTCTCATACCTGTAGACAGAGGACCAGCTGTGAGGTGAGGGCGGCAGGCACAGCAGGGACCTCCACCCCTAGGGTGGGTGGGAACGGGTGGGTCACTTACGAATGGAGGCTGTGGACACCACCTTCCACCTGAGCGGAGGACGTTCTCTTCTCGAACTTGAGCTCCCCAGAGTACATCATGGCTCTGGAAAGGCAGGTGGCAGCTGTGGGCAGCCTGCCTTGGGGCAGCCTCTCTGCCCATGTACAAGCTCCCCAGCTTACCTGACTTGGGTCAAACTCTTGGCACCAATGTCCTGGCAGGAGTGTTGGATGCCGGCGATCAGGTAGGGGACAAACTTGTGGATGGACCCTTTGTCCTGCACCGCCCCAGACACCCCCTGGGCCACTTTGATTTTGTCAGCTTCACTGCAGTGAGAGGCAAGAGACAGGGTCAAGGTCAAAGCACAGATGAAGCTGCCAGTGCAGGGGTGGCAGAAGGTAACTGACCTTCCTGTCCCACCTGAAATAGCGGTTCTGGCTGCTGAGATGCTTGTCCATGGCGTCGAGAGAGCCCATACCGCGGTACTTCTTTAGCCGGATCCCGTCGGAGAAGAAGTACTCACCAGGGGCCTCGGTGGTAGCGGCCAGGAGGGAGCCCATCATCACTAGGGGGAGAGGGAGTGTTGGGGGCAGCCCTGCCTGGCCCTGGGCAAGGGGTCCCATCAGGCTCCTGAGGTGCTGGGCCTCACCTGTGGAGGCCCCGAGGGCCAAGGCTTTGGCGATGTGGCCCACGTTTTGGATTCCTCCGTCAGCGATGACAGGAACGCCGAAGCGCCGTGCGTACTCGGACACCTTGTACACTGCCGTGGCTTGGGGCCGCCCACAGGCCAGCACTGTGAAAAGATGGAGGAACAGATGGGCAGGTGGAGTTGGTGGGGACAGGCAAGGGGCCCTGTGGCCACAGCAGCGGCCAGCAGCTTTCAGCTACACCTGCACCAGGACTGCAGCCTGGGTGAGGACAAGTCACGTCTGGGGCGGCTGCACCTGTTTCAAACAATACAAACAGCTGTGGTGGCCACCACTCACCCGTGTGCTCGTGCACTGTGCATGGCCAGGGCAGCCTCAGGTACATGCAGTCAGCAGCCGGGAAAGCCCCGCCCACCTGGCATCCGGTGGGCAGGGTCACTGTGCAGTTAGTACCCGAGGCCGCCCTCCCTCCCTACAGCGGGCAGCTCAGGCAAGAGAGGGGCGGTCGCGTGGAAAGAGGGTGCTCGAGTTGGTCCCTGAGCTGTGCCCGACTGCAGCTGTGGGCAGAACAGGGCCTGCTGGGGAGAGGGCCTGCCCTGTAAGCACCCTGGGAATGAGGGGCTGGGTTTTGAGTAACCCCCCAAAACCATGGTCTGTCATTCAGTCTGCCCAGCCCACCCCGTCAGCATCACAAACCCCGGGAGCTACAGCTACAGTCAACCAAGCAGCCGGGCAGTGGGCAGCTGGGCCGGGCCAGTGGGCCGGGCCGGACTTACTATAGCAGCCCGTGACAGTAGAAGGGCATTTGGGGCTGTGGGACTTTATGTCTGGAGGGATCTTGGGAGCTGCTAAATGAAACAAACAGACCAGAGTTTAGAGAGGGCGCAGAGCAGGAGCAAGGAGGCCAGGCTAGGCGGGGGAGTGGGAACGAGCAAAGACGAGAGCTCGTCTGGCTGCCAGCATGTCACCCCTCCAAGGGGCCTGCTGGCCCTGGGGCTGCCCCTACCAAGGACTCACTGGTGCCCCTGAGAGCACTTGGCTCCAGGCCTGTGGAGCTGAGGGTCCTGCCAGAGCATCTTACCTTCCTGGGTGATGCAGATGGAGCCACTGCCCATGCCCACCCGCAGGGCGTCCACACCCGCATCGATGAGATTCTTGGCCTGAGCCGCGGTGACCACTGCAATGGGGAACGGGGGGCTCAGGGAAGGTCTAGGTGGGAGCCTCGCTCCCCTGCTCGCCCGCGTCCTCAGCGCCATGGGCCTCACCATTGCCTCCGATGACCTGGAGGCTCGCGTATTTCTCTTTGATGTACTTGATCATGTTCATCTGGAAGATGGAGTTCCCCTGAGAGGAGTCCTGGAACAGGGAGGAAGTGCCCGTGAGACGGCGCAGCGGCAGCCCCTCCCGCCCCATCCTGCCCGGCCGGCAGCTCACCAAAACGACCACGTCCACGCCGGCCTGGGCCAGCAAGTCCAGCCGGTACTTGTCGTCTTCATGGGTGCCAATGGCCGCCCCACACAGCAGCTGCTTCTTGGCGTCTTTGGAGGCGAGTGGGTAGTCGCGGTTCTTCTTCAGGTCGGTCCGGGCAATGATGGCCACCAGCTCGTCGTCTTCATTTACGATGGGCAGCTTCCCTGAGGGCACAGGACGCCGTCAGGACCCTGGTGCTGCAGGACAGGACCCTCCTGCCGCCGCCGGACTCACCCTTCTTGCTGCGCTGAAGGATTTCATTTGCTTCCTTCAGTGTGACGCCTGCGGGGGCGACCACCAGGTCCTCCCTCTTCGTCATGATCTGAAAGGGAGGGGAGCTGTGAGGAAGGCCAGCTGAAGATCAGACCCCCCACAGGGCCTGCCCTTGACTCCAAAGACCACCATGTTCACTCACTACCCAAACCACCCCAAGTGAACCCAGCAGTGTCTGCAGCAATCTAGTGGGGAGCATGAGAATTGAGTAGAAAGGATACTATGGCCCTAACCAGTTTGGTTCAGTGGATAGGGCGTCGGCCTGCAGACTGAAGGGTCCCAGGTTCAATTCCACTTAAGGGCACTGCCCAGGTTGCAGGCTTGATCCCCAGTAGGGAGCGTTCAGGAGGCAGGCAACCAATGATGGGCTCTCATTGATGTTTCTATCTTTCTCTCCCTCCCTTCCTCTCTGAAATTAATAAAATATATGTATTTCTTTATTATACATATATATATATTTATTATATATATGTATTTATTTTATATATATACATACACACACACATGGCACTATGGTATGTAGAGTAGCCTGTTACACTGTTAGGAGAAAGAGGGCCACACCAGATCAATGACAAGAAAATTAGAAGAGGAGGCCGAGTTGGTCCCTGAGCACTGCTTTCCCCCTGGGGTTGGAAGAACACAGCATGCATGCTGGCAAACATCTGGGCAGACCGAGGCCTCCAGTGTGTGTGTAGGGGGTGGGGGTGGTGGAACTCTATGGAAGGATCAGAAACTTGGCCAGGCACTCGTCTTTCCTGGACAGTAGAGACTCCTGTCCTAGTCTGGCTGCTGGAACTTGGCGTGGCCAGTGCGCCCACCTCTTCCAAAAACCGGTCGTGCTCCTCCTCCTTGAGAAAGTCAATGTCCCGCGAGGAGATGATGCCCACCAGGCGGCTGCCCATCCGGCCCGTGTCGGTGATGGGGATGCCGCAGAAGCCATGGCGGGCCTTGGCTTCAAACACATCCCGCACTCGGTCCTTGGGGCTGAGCACCACAGGGTCTGTGATGAAGCCCTGTTCGTATTTCTGGAAGAGACGAGAATGGGCATTTCTGAATCACCTTCATCAGCTCTTGGTCTGAAAACAAGTTTGTGCCAACTCTCCCTTTGGCAGTGCCACGGGACCAAACCAAACCGACACCTCACCCCCAGGGACAGGAGACGGGGGCGGGGGTGTAGGTGCTGTTGACTTGGTCCTCTTCTGCTGCCTTAAGACCCACCCCAGGCCCTATGCTCAGGAACTCAGCTCCACGGTGGGAAAAAGGGTCCTTAGGACCCAAACAGCCCCACCCCACCTCAGCGCAATTCCCAGGGGCTCTTGCCCATGATCCTTGTCCTTCTGACCTTCACTTTCCGAACTTCGTTGGCCTGGAATTCAGGTGTGCAGTTGTGGTGGATGAAGCCAATGCCACCTGTCAGCTGTAGAATAAGAAAATGACGGGAAAATTGACAAGAATAGGAGCGGCATGACCACGCCTTTGGGGAAGAGCCCCCTGCTTCCGCCCTTCCGCCGCCCCACGGTGCTCACCGCCATTGCGATGGCCATCCCCGCTTCCGTGACCGTGTCCATTGGGGAGGACACCAGGGGGGTCTTCAGGGTGATCTTTTTGGTCAGAGCAGAGGTCAGGTCCTGAGGATCAAGGCCAGCCGATGTGAGAAAACAGTCCACACAACTCACGATGGTGCCCCGTCTCCCACAAAACAGGACCGGCACGACCTGCATGCTAAGGCCCTCCCCAGACGCCCCAGAGCCCGATCTGGGGAGGCAGACACGGCACGGCAGCCCCTCACCCGGACTGAACGCGAAGGACCCAATTCCTGGCCATACTCACCACCTGGTCTGCAGTGAAGTCGATGTATCCGGGGAGAATGAGAAAGTCACTAGGAGAGCGGGAGCGAATCGGGAGTGAGGCTCAGGCTCGGTGCAACCGGAGGCTCCATCCCACAGACCATCTCAAAGGCATTTGGGCGGAGGGCACCGACCGGGCCCAGGCGCCCCGGGCGGGGCAGAGCGCAGGTGGAGCGCGGCGGGGCCTTCTCTGCCGCTGGCTGTCACCGGCCCCGGCCCCGGCCGCTCCACGTGCCCAGAGAACGGCGTTCCCAGGCGGAAATCCCAGCACTGCCAGTGCCGCCCCCTCCACCCGCTTCACTGTCAACGGAGCCCCAGGGCCGGCCCCCACAGGCGGCCCCACGCAGCCCAGCAGGCCCCCAGCCCTCCCCTCGCCCAGAGCCCGCGAGGCCCGCACTTGTAGGTGAGGCCGTCCCCGCAGTTGAACAGCTGCTGCGCCGTGAGCCCGTCGTCAGGCACGTAGGACGTGCCCCCGCTGATCAGGTAGTCGGCCATGGCGGGGGAGCGCGCGAGTGCCCGAGAAGCACGCCGCAGAGCCTGCTGGCGTCAGGGCCGCGCCAATATACACCCGCGGCCGTCGTCAGTGCGCCCTGTGCGTCGTGACGTCAGGACGCGGCGCGCGGGCGGAGCCGGCACGCCCCCTGGGCGGGACAGCGCATGCGCAGAGCACAGACTCGCGCACAGCAATTGGGCCGTGGCGTCACTGTCCCGCCCCCCTCCCCCCGCACAGCCCCGGCCGTTCAGCGAGCAGGCGCGGCTTTGCTTCCGCTGCTCCGCCCGTCTCCGCCCAAATAAAGAGGCATTGTGCACCAGCGTGTTGAAAAGACGTGCTTGTCATTCTTAATAAACAGCTAGATTAAGAATACATAAGAGAAACAGAGTGGTATCTTTATATGATACACAAGTGTATGTTACAAGAATTCCATCAGGCACAGTAGCCTCAGGTTTAAGGCCTCAATGTTGGGCCAAAAAAAAAAAAAAGGGGCATGGTAGAGTTTACTTTAACATCTAAAATGTCACTTGTCATAAAGGAGGGTGTAATAGAAACTGTCTTTAATAAATCATAATTGAAGGTCCCCCCATTCTCTTTCCATTAAGATGCTAAGTTTATGTCTGAGCATAAAAGAAAAGACCGGTCCCCTGTGGCCAGCGAAGTCGCAGGCAGAGTGGAGCCAGCTGGGCGAGTGCCTGCAGGTCCACCCGCCATGAATCCCATCTTCCTGGAGGAAGGGAAGGGGCCACATCTCTCCAACAGTCCAAGCCCTTTCCCCGGCCCCAGACGAGAAAGCAGCCAGCAACGCTGCAGGACACCTGGCTCTCGGGGCCGGAGCCCGTGGCTGAGCGTCTGCTGCAGCAGGTTCATGAAGATGCACAAGGGGCAGAGTTTCCTTTTACATTTTAAACAGAAGCGGTCGGAAAGGCTTCGTAACTACACCAATAAAAAAAGAAAGAAAAAATGGAGGCCTCTTCTTTAGTGTGAAAGTCTGTCCGTTTCTTCCTGGCTGCTCTCCCTAGCACCATGGCTAAGGGAGTTCAGTGCATGGTGCTTGCGTTGGCCACTGCAATGGCCTCCTGAATTTCCCGTATCACCAGGATCCGAGTCAGCATCTGTCCCATCTGCTCTCTGCTGATAGGCTGAACCGAGTACCAGATTGGGCTGTTGGGGGCCACCACTGGCTCCGGCGTCAGGTAAAAGGTGTCATTCCGGCCTTTCACACTCTGGGGACTGAAGAATATGTCAGTAAAGGCTGGTTAAAACCACAATCTCAACCCTCCCGCCTGAAACTCCCAGACAGACATCTGCAAAAGCTGGGCAGGCAGCTGCTCTGGAGGGATGGTGGCACAGCCACACACACAGCCTCGGGTGCCAGGGCAGCTGCTTCTGCTGTGCCGCCCTCAGATGCCAGCTGATTCCGCTGACCTGGGGCTCCCGGGCTCACCTACTCGAGTCCAATCATGTCCGACTTGGAATAAGCTTTACCGCCCAGGGCTGTCTTCCAAGTCTGCTCAGGTTGCTTCCTGCACCCAGTCCTGAGAGTTCCTGCTCTGAGGAACTCAACCTGGGCCCCCCCTCAGTGCTGTGCTGTGCCTCTCTCAAGTGCGTAGCACACACCATCCCCTCAGCTCTTCATCCACCCACTCAGGGTTACCAAGGGCTCCTGTTTGTCAGTCCTGCCTTAGGTGCTGATGGTAAGGAAATGAGTAAGACCCAACAGGGCCTCCCTTCTGGGGCTGACAGATAAGGGGAGAGGCAGACAGAAGTTAAACACTCACACACACCCAGGACACACAGTGCGACAGATGGAGCACCTGAGGGCACAGGTAGGGTGTGAAATGCTTCCCCCATCAGGTGCTTGAGAACCGGTGGGCAGGAGCTGACTGCTAACTGGGTGGGGTGGGGCGGCGTGGGGTTGCCCAACAGGGAAAAAACCTGGGCCGAGGCCTCGAGAAAGGGAAAGCACGGTGTCCACAGTGGAGAGGAGCCAGTGTGGCCAGAAAGCCAGAGCTGGCTGGATGCAAGGTCAGCAAAGGGGAGGGAATGAAGGGCCTCTTGGCCACGTTAGGATCCTGTCTTTGTAGAGCAAAGAAAGCCACTGCAGGTTTAAGTAACACAAGACCTTCAACGTAGAAAGATCATTCTGACATTGCTGGGAGTATGACAGCCCAACGCCAGGCGCAGCAGAGCACAAAGCCAGGGAAAGGAGTCCCCCTTAGATGGATGGCGGCAATGACCAAAGGTCAAGCCCCAGAGATGCTCACCGTGCGATGGAGGCAGCCTGTCTGTACCGCCTCCCTCTCCCTTCCTCTCCTCTCCAGGAAAGGGGTCCTCAGGGGCAGGGACCCCTTTAGGACCCCAGGGCTCAGCACATCACGTGCTGTGGGGAAAGCAGTCAGTCTGCTTCTGTACCCAGCTTTCCTGCAGTGTGTTTCTCTTCTAGCTGGGGACTAGAGAATGCCTCTGCACACAGGCACCTGCTTAGAAGGAAACCCCCTCACCATTTAAAGAGGTAGAAATCGTACAGCTTGATGGGACATCTCAGTGGATTCTCAGGATTTTCCGTCTGTTCTGCATACATGTCATCTGTAACTACAAAACACACCAACCACAGACATGGCATCAGACTACGTTAGCTCAGGCCCAGCATCCCAACCAGGACACAGTGGAAGGAGAAAGGGTGTGAGGAATGGGCGGTGGCTATGAAAGGAAAAGGCAGCTATCTTTTCTGGGCCATCCCTGCTTCTTCAAGAGTCTGCCGCTTCTGGCTGAGGAGAAAGGAACGGAGAATCGCTATCCAGCAAGTCCCAGCCCCAAGTCATCACTAGCCCCTTGGCACAGAGCGCGGCAGGGCGAGGAGCGCCGTTTCCGCAGGCCTCGCCCCCTTCCCTACCTTTCTGGCCTGTCTGGTGTATCCCAAGTGCCTTCAGGTACCGAATACTCGTGCTTTTGTCCTTAGGGTTGGAGGGGTTCTTCTTTGTCTGTCGCAAGACCTTGGAGAAGGCCAGCTTCATGTGCTGGTCCACCGTCTTCAACAGGAAGTACCTGCACCGCAAGTGAAAGCCAGGCAGAAGGGAGGATGCCAGGAGGAGACCGTGACTT